AAGGATGATAAAGGATGATAAAGGATGATAAAGGATGATAAAGGATGATAAAGGATGATAAAGGATGATAAAGGATGATAAAGGATGGTAAAGGATGATAAAGGATGATAAAGGATGATAAAGGATGGTAAAGGATGATAAAGGATGATAAAGGATGATAAAGGATGATAAAGGATGATAAAGGATGATAAAGGATGATAAAGGATGATAAAGGATGGTAAAGGATGATAAAGGATGATAAAGGATGATAAAGGATGATAAAGGATGGTAAAGGATGATAAAGGATGATAAAGGATGATAAAGGATGATAAAGGATGATAAAGGATGATAAAGGATGATAAAGGATGATAAAGGATGGTAAAGGATGATAAAGGATGATAAAGGATGATAAAGGATGATAAAGGATGATAAAGGATGATAAAGGATGGTAAAGGATGATAAAGGATGATAAAGGATGATAAAGGATGATAAAGGATGATAAAGGATGGTAAAGGATGATAAAGGATGATAAAGGATGATAAAGGATGATAAAGGATGATAAAGGATGATAAAGGATGGTAAAGGATGATAAAGGATGATAAAGGATGATAAAGGATGATAAAGGATGGTAAAGGATGATAAAGGATGATAAAGGATGATAAAGGATGATAAAGGATGGTAAAGGATGATAAAGGATGATAAAGGATGATAAAGGATGGTAAAGGATGATAAAGGATGATAAAGGATGATAAAGGATGATAAAGGATGGTAAAGGATGATAAAGGATGGTAAAGGATGGTAAAGGATGATAAAGGATGATAAAGGATGATAAAGGATGATAAAGGATGATAAAGGATGGTAAAGGATGATAAAGGATGATAAAGGATGGTAAAGGATGGTAAAGGATGATAAAGGATGATAAAGGATGATAAAGGATGATAAAGGATGATAAAGGATGATAAAGGATGATAAAGGATGGTAAAGGATGATAAAGGATGGTAAAGGATGATAAAGGATGGTAAAGGATGGTAAAGGATGATAAAGGATGGTAAAGGATGATAAATGATGATAAAGGATGATAAAGGATGATAAAGGATGATAAAGGATGGTAAAGGATGGTAAAGGATGATAAAGGATGATAAAGGATGATAAAGGATGATAAAGGATGGTAAAGGATGGTAAAGGATGATAAAGGATGGTAAAGGATGATAAAGGATGGTAAAGGATGATAAAGGATGATAAAGGATGATAAAGGATGATAAAGGATGATAAAGGATGATAAAGGATGATAAAGGATGATAAAGGATGATAAAGGATGATAAAGGATGATAAAGGATGATAAAGGATGATAAAGGATGGTAAAGGATGATAAAGGATGGATAAAGGATGATAAAGGATGATAAAGGATGATAAAGGATGATAAAGGATGATAAAGGATGATAAAGGATGATAAAGGATGATAAAGGATGATAAAGGATGATAAAGGATGATAAAGGATGGTAAAGGATGATAAAGGATGATAAAGGATGATAAAGGATGGTAAAGGATGATAAAGGATGGATAAAGGATGATAAAGGATGATAAAGGATGATAAAGGATGATAAAGGATGATAAAGGATGATAAAGGATGATAAAGGATGATAAAGGATGATAAAGGATGGTAAAGGATGATAAAGGATGATAAAGGATGATAAAGGATGATAAAGGATGGTAAAGGATGATAAAGGATGGTAAAGGATGATAAAGGATGATAAAGGATGATAAAGGATGATAAAGGATGATAAAGGATGATAAAGGATGATAAAGGATGGTAAAACATGATAAAGGATGGTAAAGGATGATAAAGGATGATAAAGGATGATAAAGGATGATAAAGGATGATAAAGGATGATAAAGGATGATAAAGGATGATAAAGGATGGTAAAGGATGATAAAGGATGATAAAGGATGATAAAGGATGATAAAGGATGATAAAGGATGATAAAGGATGATAAAGGATGATAAAGGATGATAAAGGATGATAAAGGATGGTAAAGGATGATAAAGGATGATAAAGGATGATAAAGGATGATAAAGGATGATAAAGGATGATAAAGGATGATAAAGGATGATAAAGGATGATAAAGGATGATAAAGGATGATAAAGGATGATAAAGGATGATAAAGGATGATAAAGGATGATAAAGGATGATAAAGGATGGTAAAGGATGATAAAGGATGATAAAGGATGATAAAGGATGATAAAGGATGATAAAGGATGATAAAGGATAAAGGATGGTAAAGGATGATAAAGGATGATAAAGGATAAAGGATGGTAAAGGATGATAAAGGATGGTAAAGGATGATAAAGGATGATAAAGGATGATAAAGGATGGTAAAGGATGATAAAGGATGGTAAAGGATGATAAAGGATGATAAAGGATGATAAAGGATGATAAAGGATGATAAAGGATGATAAAGGATGGTAAAGGATGATAAAGGATGATAAAGGATGATAAAGGATGATAAAGGATGATAAAGGATGATAAAGGATGGTAAAGGATGATAAAGGATGGTAAAGGATGGTAAAGGATGATAAAGGATGGTAAAGGATGATAAAGGATGGTAAAGGATGATAAAGGATGATAAAGGATGTAAAGGATGGTAAAGGATGATAAAGGATAAAGGATGATAAAGGATGATAAAGGATGATAAAGGATGGTAAAGGATGATAAAGGATGGTAAAGGATGATAAAGGATGATAAAGGATGATAAAGGATGATAAAGGATGATAAAGGATGATAAAGGATGATAAAGGATAAAGATGATAAAGGATGATAAAGGATGATAAAGGATGATAAAGGATGATAAAGGATGATAAAGGATGGTAAAGGATGATAAAGGATGATAAAGGATGATAAAGGATGATAAAGGATGGTAAAGGATGATAAAGGATGAATAAAGGATGATAAAGGATGATAAAGGATGATAAAGGATGATAAAGGATGATAAAGGATGATAAAGGATGATAAAGGATGATAAAGGATGATAAAGGATGATAAAGGATGGTAAAGGATGATAAAGGATGATAAAGGATGATAAAGGATGGTAAAGGATGATAAAGGATGATAAAGGATGATAAAGGATGATAAAGGATGATAAAGGATGGTAAAGGATGATAAAGGATGGTAAAGGATGATAAAGGATGATAAAGGATGATAAAGGATGGTAAAGGATGACAAAGGATGGTAAAGGATGATAAAGGATGATAAAGGATGATAAAGGATGATAAAGGATGATAAAGGATGGTAAAGGATGATAAAGGATGATAAAGGATGATAAAGGATGATAAAGGATGATAAAGGATGATAAATGATGGTAAAGGATGATAAAGGATGGTAAAGGATGATAAAGGATGATAAAGGATGATAAAGGATGATAAAGGATGGTAAAGGATGATAAAGGATGATAAAGGATGATAAAGGATGATAAAGGATGATAAAGGATGATAAAGGATGATAAAGGATGATAAAGGATGATAAAGGATGATAAAGGATGATAAAGGATGATAAAGGATGATAAAGGATGATAAAGGATGATAAAGGATGATAAAGGATGAGAAAGGATGAGAAAGGATGATAAAGGATGATAAAGGATGATAAAGGATGGTAAAGGATGATAAAGGCGATTTCCAAGTGAGTACAGTCCTGAAGTACAGCCCACTGGGACTCAGATCTCACCCCACCTGACCCAGTCATTCGTACTGCACCACGGTCTTCCTGATTGCTGGCATTGCTTTGACCTGCTGGGGTAGCAGGGATCCTCAGCGTCAGCCTGGGCTTGCCGGCTGCCCTTGACATAGGGGACTCTCTGCATTTTTCAGCACTTGTCTTGTGAAATTTGTGAATTTCTTGGTCATCCAGAATCCAAGATATCTGACCAGTCTGACCGCATAGGACTGGAAGCTATTAGATGACGAATTAATTTTTGAGTCAAGACTTGTCGAGACTGGTTACAGCAGCTCCATGCTCCAGTAATGTCAGAGTATGTCAGACCTCCAGATGACTACCTTGCCGATGGAAACTGCACAAGTTGGCAGGTCCTGACTTTGATCTCATTGGCTTTAATCTCGCTTTGATGTCGACCATGGTTTTCCCCTCAGCGGGTTGAGATGCCATGGGAGCTGTCAACGTCAACACAACCCGAAAGGTTCCAACAGGGCTTCACCAATTCGAGAGCATATGAATTACCGACGCGTAACCCCACACACCCACACTGGAAGGTGAATGAACCAGGTTTGGATGTATGATATTGAAATTAGATGGTCTTTGAATTATTCAAAATTTATTTCATGGTTGTTCAAAAGATCGACCGGCAGTTGCATGAACATCAATCTGTGAGCATCTACTTGTATAAACTATCTGAACATATCTGAACTATGGATAACTATGGATAATCACATGCAGCAAACGTCTTAGTCCGCAATGCAACGCCCATTTTGTGCAGGTAGCCGCAGCAGGAACTTCTCTCAACGGACGCTTGCTCTCGGTCGGCCCTTTCCGAGGTGCTCTGGGATCCTCTTGGGTTATCCCTAGCCGCTGCTTCCCGTCGCAGCATAGTATAGCGAAGTCTCAGGTGGTGTTTTTTCATGTTTTTTCTTCTTCATTTTCGGCCCAAACAAAATTTTGAACGCAAAGGCATTGGATCATCATAAACTGATTCAACTGATTTCAAGGAAGTACTGTACCTGGTCTGCGATCCCGAAAAAACCATTGTGCCAGGAACCGGCTCTGTTTCTCGGTGGCAGGACTACCTGCAAACTAACAAAATCAGCATCGCATTCTGAGTTCGTCTGAATTCGATCATAATTCATCCATTCATCTGAATTCTCTATGACATATGCGACAAGATGCACGTTTTTAGAGTTTTTAGTGTTTGTAAGTGAGTAATTATCAGTATGAATGCAACATAATACACCGTTTTCCCATCTTTCGACCTTGTGCAGTGCAAGCTTCATCTTTAACGGACATGGAGTCTCTTAGTGAACCATGCCATGGCTCTGAATCGAGACATTCTTCAGAGCCGAGGTCAATATCATGCCGTGTACTGAGTTTCGCTCGATCCACCTGACGATCATAATATGCACCCCAAAAAATGGATGGTTTGAGACTCAAAATGATCATTTTTTTTGGGTAACAATATAATATAATATGATATAATATAATATAATATAATACAATATAATATGATATGATATGATATGATATAATATATAATTATAATATAATTATATTATAATATAATATAATATAATATAATATAATATTGACGATTAACATTGATTGATTAAATTGATTACCCCAATTTTGACCCAATCCTATGTGTCATGAGAAAATCAACATGGTCGCCTCGAGCTCCAGAATTGATAGATGCCATTGGTACTGCTCACCTGAATGTGTGGGCACGAAGTGCCCAAAGTGCCAAGGCGGCTCATGATGCTGCAGTCACTTCCGTCCTTTTTCATTTTCAGTATCATTGCAGCCTGCTGCTGAGAGGGGACGCACCATGTTGTAGCCTTGCAATGCCTTGCACGTTTTGCTAGGAGGTATGCTGAGTAGCGACATAATCGCAAAGACTCATCAGCTGTCAATCCTGTCAATCCTGTCAATCCTGTCAATCCTGTCATGTCGATCTGAACGGGTGTGTGAACTTATCCGCTATGTTCAGATTACGTTCAGCATTTCAAAGGTCCCAGGTGCTTCTTCATTCTACAAATGCTAAGGCCGCCACAGAGATGAACGCCGTGTCAAAGCACCTGGTGGCAGAGGTGGGCAGCCTCAAAGCGGGAGAGATCGAGAGCTGAATCGGATAGCGGGAGAGCTGAATCGGAAGTAAGGTGAGGATGGTTTCGGGAGCACAATGAGCACATCCCCACAACATATCACAACAATTCACAACCACTCGATGAAGGCTTCAATGTCGGTACGCCCTTTGTCTACAGTTCATTCCATGTCTTTACGCCGAAAAATTGCTGCGAGGAATCTGGTGGATGGCCGGTGATCCTTGGGTCGGGGCCACAAGCGTGTCTCTTTTGAGGTCCTCTTGCAGTTTTGAGGCAGAGCCCACATCAGGAAGACTAAGGAGATCTCAGCGAAATTTGTATCATTGGCGAAGGCATCCATTTTCTGGTACTCAGATGCCATATCATCAAAAATAGTAAAAATAGAAGTAATGATAGTACTGATAAGCATGATGATATTTTTGTTTATAATATTTTATTATCATATATAATTAATATATATGAGTGTAATTTATGTTGCACTGAGTTTTATTGGCAGCGATAACGTAGTGTTACGGAGGTTGGTGTCTGTGTCGAGCGCGTTGGCACTGGTCTCCAACTTGGGCCGATGCTTTTTGGTGGCCTCCACGTAGGGATACCCAGCACCACGGCAGATGATTGCCATGCAGTTCCTGCGTAGATACGTGATTCTGAAGCAGAATTTCAGATGATAAATATTGATAAATCATATAAATCATGATAAATCAAGGAATTAGTTGAGTTTTAGAGGCAAAAAGGGTGAATGCAAAGTGTTTGTCATGACCAAATGAATTGTAGTTTCATTTGTATCATTATCTGTAGCTCCACACGTTCAACAAACATGTCTTTGCAACCTGGACTACAAGAGCTGCATGACTGGCATGCCCATGGCCACTGTGGATCTGCAGGAGTGCGTTGATGGAGACGTTTGCAGGCAATACAAAGGCTGGGATATCGCACATGACGATGTTGTCCGCGTTACCGCAGGTCCATAGTTGGCTCTTGACGCATGTTCACGAATAAACATGACCAAACTTGAGTTTTGGTTTATTCCTTGTCTTGCAAGGGATCCTCCGAAATCATGCAGATTCCACTCACCGATTGTTTCAAAATACTTCCGGAATACTTCTGGAATACTCCTGAGTCTCGCACCAGGTTGCTGCACTGTGCGTCATTGACAACCGCTTGTTTGGCACAAGGATGTATAGCTGCTTGAGCTGAAAGCAGAGCTGGGTAATTTCCTGTGCAAATTGAGCAAGGATATAAAACGACATAAAACGGTATAACACGGATATCATCGAATCAATGGTATCATGATGATATATTTGATGATACTTGTATATTCTAATTATAATTATATATATATATTATATACATATATAATTAGATACATTTATAATCAATAATAAAATATAACATATAACATATATATATATAATTATATATATAATATATATTATATATATATTATATTTGTTTTCTTCCAACGGCATTACATATTGAATATTGTCAAGCCTCATCAAATCAATCACTGTCAATCACTGCTAAAGATCATCTCTGCTGGCTTTGGCTCTGTCGATGGTGGCTCTGAGGCTACAACTATCTCGGTGTCGCTTTGACCTTTCTGGGCTTCAGCGCAGAAGACTCAGGATTCATATGGATTCATAGTTTCCATAGCCATCATTGTTAAGTCGATGCCCGGTCGCGCCAGCCATCAGCATCAGAAATCCTCTTTTTTTTCCGACTTCAGTGCATTCTGCCAGTATTTGCCCAGTGAAACGCTGTGAATTTTGCTGGGTTGAGTCCCGCAGCTTGCGTCGCTGGCGGTGGCAGGTGCATGTACTTCTCCAGTACCTCTCGGCTGGCGCCTGAGTCCATTGAGTCGAGTGAGTCTGTCGATGTCTGTCGTGCCAAGGGGGCGAAACAAGAAACCAAGCAGCACAATGAGATGAAGAGAGTTGGGATGCCCAATCCCAGGGATTTTGAAAAGGCGCACTTAGAGAATATCACAACTTGTACAAGACACCTATGTGCATGTATAACACATAACCATACATCTATAATATATATATATACATACACTATTATACACTGTATATCTATATGTACATATATACACATAATAATATAATATATATATACATACAGCATGATATATATAATGTATATTATGTGGATATCATCACAATATATGTGATTATGCAAAATCTATGTATATAATGAATTTGATTCAACCCGATTATTACATGATATACTATCCGATGCTTCAAGCATTTCAGTTTTCGGACTTCGAAACCAATCCTGCTGTTGTGACACACCTGTATAATCCTAGTTCTGAACACGTCGATTTACGAGGCATCGAAAGCTTCTCGCACACCTGAAGGCATGGCAAAGTGCTGGTGACATTTGCAGGTCATGGATGGTCATAGATGCAAAAAGTATACTTAAGATTATTCAAGGATACTTAAGTCTTAAGTATTGTATAATAAAGTATACTACCGTACTAGTACCCAATTCACCAAGTCAAAGCACTATATTCCGACATTTTTGTTTGATCCTGCAAAAAACATTTTGAGATGCACTTTGTAAAATCGCAGAAAGTCATGCATGCCAAACCAGAGCAGTCGCAGCCACGGGACTTGAAGGTACAAATGATGAGATGGAAGGATTGAAACCAGACGATTCTCCAGAAAGAATGACAGGCCAGAATCTGCTGGGGAAATATCAGGTCTGCACAAAATGTGATGATGGCTTCCACCAATTATAGTATTATGATATATTGTAACGGTGTGTACGTATACGTATCTTGTGTATATATTATATTATATTATATATATAAAAACCTAATGGATACACGTATTCACCCTCAGACTTGAAAGTCGGAACTCATCGAATCTTCCCACTCTACTTCGAAGTTCTACCTGCAGCCTGCAGTGTGAGTGAACTGCAGGGACGCTTTCCAAAGTCCCGAGCGGTCCGGAGCCAGAGCTTTGGGGTAATGGTCAGCCTTACGACATGGGCGATCTGAAGACACTGCGGAAGGGCTTGCCTTGCAGGTGGAAACACGTTTGAGGATCCTAAAGGTGCTTAAAGACCTCCTGTCACGGGACCGAGTTTATAGTAATGCTGGCACCTTGTTGAACACATGGATCAGTTTATATCAGGATTATTTGTTTGTGGTCCAAGGTTTTGAGCATTCAAGAATCGATGCTACTCCCAACTCAGCTGTGATTTCCAAGGTCCCGTTTTCATTTTGAACATGCCCCGGCTCATCTCCGGAGCAGAGTGTCTTGGCGGGTGAAGCCACGTGTCAAAACTAAACCTAGGCTTCCTGACACAAAGACAGCTGATTGTCTTTCCAATAACGTGTGGATGCGAACAAAGCAATGGCGTCTTTTCCTGGTGGGACGACTTGTCATCAGGAGATCCAGTGAATATGGACAGCAGATCAAGAGGATTCAATAGCTAAGTTGAAAAGGATCACTCATCACTCAGCGAACACTTTTGTAATGTGGCCTCAGACGCCCGTTTGGTTCTTTCGATAAATGGGTAGTCTTAGAAGTCTTAGACACTTATACTTATACAATACATACGATAGATCCAATCTAATGCAAACCTCAGGCTTGGACACTTTCTAATAAGAACCAAGTGAAAAAGAACCCCAAAGCCCCCGATGAATTTGAATCAATTTGGCATGATGGGAGGATTTCACAAATCCAACAGAAAACTTGGTTCCCATTTTGGGATTCCAAGGGTATATAATGGTATATAAGGGTATACAGTTTATATCTGTTTATGATATTTTATCATATTTCATCATCATATATACCTGCCACATAGCAGGTCCCCCCATCACCAAGTCATTGAGGACCGGCTTGTTCTCTGAGCACCTGGCTTTGCGCTTGGGGCGAGAACATCCCTTTCGCCGGCAGGGAGACCTACCGATTCGGAAACTGATTTTGTGGAAACGGACAAAGAGAGCATTAACGCATATTAAAGCCACTTGAAATCCAAGCTTCTATGTGCTTCTATAATCTTCTATAATTCCTACTTTTTTGTGTGTGTTTTTCATGGTTTTCCTTGCTTCTGTACTGTTTGTTTTTGTGAACATCTTGTCTGGGTGCAGCACTGTAACAATCCAAGGCGAAAAGGCAGAAAAAATACCAACCTGCGGATGCAGCTGTCTCAGGCATGGCATGACATGGCCATGGCCACAGTGGTCTTTATCCATCGCGCGTGTAAGTTTGGTATACCACATTCACATACATTCATCACAATCAAATGGGTTTCTAAACATGGGAACACATGGGGTATTTCTCCATGGTACCCCTAAAACGCAACGGATTATCATTTGTTTATCATGAACTTTGCGACTTCGAGGTATTTTCGGACACGCCCATGGCAAGATCATGACAAGTCGGACACAAATGAATAGGTTCAGATGTCAGGGATAGACAATGAGACTCGCGAGACAATGAGCAGCAACGACGTTGCAATGGTTCATCGGATTGCTGCATTTGATTTGACGTATATTGGAGGCAAGGCAAGTGGATAGCAGATAATTGCGGATTGATGTGGATCAACAATCATAAAGGTTATTCCGATGTTCTATGGTTCTATGTGCTCAGCATCGAATCTTTACCAAGGGATCAGTTCTTCACCCTATTACGCCTTACACAGCAAGACACAGAGTTGGAAACATGGCACAGACTTGGCATTGCATGCATTGCAGTGCAGCCGACGCATGCCAATGTCGATTTACAAGTGGGATCAAGTGGGTTGGTTTTAAGTCTTTTAGCCTTTTACTGAAAACGGAAAAGGGCAACAAAGACAGCTTTTACGGGTCAAAGAATGGCTTCAAACCGGCTTTGCATCGGAACAGGTCGCCGAAGAGGCCTGAGCCGGGGAGGTTCACAGTGGTTCCCCCATGGGTTTTCCGGTTGCGAAGTCACGACCGCGCCAGGGAGAGGAGGGCGAGGCAGCCGAATTTCGGGTGGGATGGATGGATAAATGGACTCGCAATTCCACTAGTAAGATCTAGTAAGTAGTAGACTAGCAGCTAGTGACTAGCATGGACCTTGCTTTCTCCGGACATTCTGGACCGGGGAATGAGACCTTCTGGATCCTTCTGGCATTGGCTTACTTGCAGAAGGATCCGGACGACTTTTTTTCTATCATCTATATATCAAGCGACAATATTTGTTGGACCGGTCCCTACCCTGAGAGATGATCAAGTCCAGCCAACTCTGACACGTGCCTCATGTTCATCATGTTCGGGACACCAGCCTTTATATGCTTTTACCACGTTTATGAATCCGCCTGAAATGGAAGGGTGCAGGACGTCGATTGGGTGTCTTTGTTGGATTTTATAGGGATGTTGACATTCAGTGCTTGGAAAACGTCCCTTTCAAAGAGATGAACATAACATCAGGTTTTTCCGGAGATAATCTCCAACATGGTTGAAGTGGATACTCCATCAGTTGAAAAAGTGGGGGATTATCCCCACTATCTCCGTAAGATCCCATAAGATCCGGATCCCCCACAGGTGCCACCTTTGACTCGGCCGAGAAGCCGTACGTGGCAGGCTGGTGAGGTGTGGTGCCCCGGGAGAACATGATGCAGATGCTTCTCCGAGGGTTTTCTTGAAAAAAAACCTTAGGTTTTCCTTTGATTTTTTTGGATTATTTGAAGGATTTATGACACATTCCAAATTTTGTGCTTTTTATTTTTTAAAACGGTTACAACTAGTTCCAGATCTTTATAATGAGGGCAGTGCACGAGTGCTCATTTTCAAACGAGTGTTCGTTCGCCGCTCAGGACATCAACAAGACTTGGATTGGTGACCTAAACCCAGTTCTTGAGGCCCTTCCTGGCCATGCTGACTGGAGATGCGCCCTGGATCTGGACATATTTTCCCACCATTTCTCACCTATTTCCTACCCACTTACCACTAACCCGTGGATCCATGTAGCTCCTAAATATTGCAGCCAAAGGCCAATTGAGTCATGAGTTTTGTCAGGCGCCGGACTGGTTGAACGCTGGCACCTTGGGGTGATAGATGCGCAGCCAATGGCGACATTCCACGGTTACTGCACACTGACAGACTGCCTTTTCTTCTTGAGACAATGTAGTCTTACATTATTTACATATTAAAACCTATTAATTGTAGTATTAAATTGTAGTCTTAATACTCAATTAATATTAAAACATATTAAAACCTTGAAGTCCTGATAAGTCCTGTGACCTCGGGACTGATCAGCTTGGAACAAATCTATTTTTTCTCAGCAAAGGGGCTCCTGAATTTTTGGATGCGGTGAGGGTAGCTTGGTTCAGATATTGCCTATTTACCTGAGGACAATTCGTCCTTGAGTTCCGACAGAACCGCTGCGACCAGCCCGGCGGCAGAGACAAGGCAGACCAAAAGAGTTGGATGGTGCGTGAAACCAAATGATTGTGCAAAGTTTTTTTACCCTCTCCAGATCAACCACGAACAGTATATATATATAGTATTGCATATTATAATTAAATTATGCATGTATGTATATATGTATATTTGTAAATTTCATGTAGTGTAAGATGTATAAGAATCATGCACATTCCAATATGTTCACCTACCCACATATAAACAAAGCTATTCAAATATTGGAGTGACGTCGTGACGGGTGCAAGCCTCGTTTCTTGTGATCCTGCAGGTCATCCGGTCCCTCAGGGATTCCCTTGATCGACCGAGCAGTGTGGCCCTTGGTGACCTTGGTGTCCTTGGTGATTATTGGATATTGTTGGTGATTATTGGTGATTATTGGTGATTGAATTGTTTGGAAGATACATGAAGATACTGACCGAACAAAGTGCCATAATGGGCCATAGTGCTGGGAAGTTTTGAAGATATTTAGTGGATTTTAATGGATTCTAGTGGCTATAGGAAATGACTTGCCTTTGGGAAGGGTTTCTGACCCCCAGACAGCCCCAACCCTAGCCCCAACTCTGGTGACTCTGGTGTAGTATCAATGGCGTGCTCATGTAGTCGCTGTTATTGCCCAACACCCCCCCACATCTCCAGCGTAGCAGTGGCGCTTGGAAGTTCAAGCGACCGGTGCTGCAATATTTTGTCATCTTGCATTGCGGCGCATGATCTTTTGTTTTCTGTCGAGTTGTCTTGCATTGCAACTCTATGGTTGAATATATGTATCACTCTATTTATTCTTGTGTTCATATATTTGCAGGCATTTTGTCAAACTCGTAAGGCATGTACATAGAGGTGCCATTTCGCTTCATGATGTCATATGTCATACATTCTATGATCTACTTGTACCAGACAGTGTACCAATGTGTACCATTTGTTTCTTCTCCAAAACACACTGCCTTGAGTGAGATTCTGTCCTGATATATTGCATTCTACGGGCATTCTATTCAGTCATGACAAAACATACAACAAGTTTGATGTTTGAAAGAAAGATAGTGTCACTGTTTTCAGATTGCTTCTTGTTGTGGTGAGCAAACCAAAACAAGACTGCTTCTGGTCAGATTGTGTTCAAATGAAAGAAGATTGGGATGGTTGTTGTGCTGGGTTTGCTTTGCTAATTGGAGCCGCATGAAATTGCAACAAGTCTGGAGAGATCGGCTTGCTTCTGTCGAAGGTTGCATGACAAGATTTTTCTACTGGATAAAGATACGTAAAGATCTATAAAGATGATGAAGCTCATGTGAGTATGCCACAGCAAGTGAAATCTCAGCTCGGGAAGGTCAGGCGGAAGCCCCCTGAAAATGGACCCCAAAAATAGCCGTTGCGAAAGCCGCAGCAAAAGTCATATGCATCATCAGGGGTTCCAACAGAAAGTGATCGCGAAAGTGTTCCAGTAGAACTGCCCACACCAGATTTTTGACACAGCTGATTTGTCGGGCCTTGTCAGGTCTCACGGAATCGCTTCAACTCTGACCTAGTCTGAAATCAACTGAACTGACATAATAGGCACAGATGGATGCCCAATTGGGCGCAGTTTGAGGGGTAGTTTTCCCAAGTTCTGCGACCGATGCGAGCTTCAACTCAGCAAGAATCCCGATTTCAAAACGATGAACAATTCATGAGAACACATTGTACTAAAACAATCTAAAACATTGAAAGCACACCGTGTTGTTTCTGGAGTTGGCTACGTCATGCTGCATCGGATGAATCAAAGTGGTCGCTGCTCTCACGACTGTGCACCTCTCGAAGAGTGGACTACAGGACCTGAAGAGCAGCATTTGTAGGTTTTTTTTTGCAGTTTCTTTTTCATTTAGTTCCATGCGCAAAATACACCAAACAAACAAATGTCACAAATGATACAAACATATACAAACATGGTAGACATGGACCTGTGCAGACCAATTGGACCAGCCTTCAGGGATACCTTTCTGGACAGTTCCATTTCCCTGGCGCAAGAAGAAGCTGCCTAATTCTCGTCGCGGTGAGGAGCGCGGAAGAACTGAGGGTTTTAATCCGACGCCGGATCACTCGGGTTCTCAATCTCTCCCGCCGTTACTTTTCATGCTGAGCATGATGAGCCAATGTTCGACTGCAGCGTGCAAGAACTCCACAGGAATGCACGGGCAGATATGGTCGCAATGGGTTAGGGAGCGATAAGGGCCACATCTGACTCCAGACACCAGGAAAATGGCATCCCAAGGGTCATTGGCTCATCGTGCAGCTGCCTTGGCCATGATCAATGTATCTTGGTTCCTCGGTGTCTCATGGTGTCACTTAGCGAGCCAAGCTGATGTGAAGCCGCAGTCATCACTTCAGCATCGTTTTGGCCGGTTCAGCCGGCAACCCGCAGCCACTCGTTTCTTGCAGTAAAATGTTTGATTTCTCTATACTTCACTGTGATCCAGCGTGGTGCCATTGGGAGCTGGAGGTGGTTGAGGGGACAGGCCAGCTGTAAACTTGCCATTTCCTGCGTTCGCAACCTCTTCAGCTGGTTCTGATAATGGAGTTCAAATAGTTGAGAGCTTTCATTGGTTTTGGTTCACAGATTCACCTGAGGATTTGTACAGTACAAGATGCACAGTAAAGTGACGTGAAAAGAAATCATGCTTTGCTAGAATGGCTCAAATATACCTTCCATCTGCTTCCATGACAGATTGACATGTGACAGACGCCAGAAAAAATATGCAACACCACTACATATCGCCACATTGCCGCGCAGGACTTCCCAAGCATACAGTTTGAAGATGTTTGAAGGATCAAATCTGAGAGGCGTTTGAAATCCCGGAGAATCTCCTAGACACACAGCAGACACAGCACAGCACAAACCACAGGCAAAGGTCTCAGGTCACCTTGCAACTCGATGCCATCCACAGGCTGGTTGGCCTTAAGGAGTTTGAAGAGTGAAACCACGTCCCTTTCACACATCTTTCTTTCATTTTCTTTCCATTTGTTTTCATTTGGGTTGGGCCAGTTGGGAACTGGTGAGACTGGGGTAGGGCCTACCGGGTAGGGCCATGCTGCAATGCTTTGTTGAGGCACGGTGAAGTCATTCAACCCTACGAAGGCGTGGCAGTCTCCAGGGTGGGATGACATGGGATGACCACAGACGACATAACAAAAATACTTTGCCTACAGCACCATGAAAAAAAACAGGGATATTTACTTGGACACTTTTGAGAGGTTGTATATGTACTAGTAATATCTAGTAATATTTATATTATAATATAATCATATATATATATACACATATATAAATATATTATGATAATTTAAGATTGCTCAATGTTGATATTTGATGATAGTATCCGATAACATCCTACTGGTTCTCAGAAGAGTAAAGTTGTCGCCCGGGTTTCTGCCTCCACGCCAGGGATGGGGCTTCATCGACTGCTGTGGAGTTGATGTGCCCTGGAATGCACAGATTTCCAGACAGCAAAACTCATTGTAAATGATTTATAGTATGATGCACACACACACATATATATATCCATATATATATACATATGAACCATATAAAATTCATCTATTACATTACACAGATGACTTAAATTTTATAATTTACGAAAAACTCATTCTGATTGAAGGTCATATTTGTGGTTCTTCGCATTCAAAACTTGAGATAAGATGAAAGACGGCCACTGAATCAGTTTCAACAATTTCAACAGGGGTCGTCAGTTTCAACGTCTTCCAATTGCCACGAATTTTCCACAGCTGAGTTGCCCGGACTCTACCTAAACTGGTTGATTCATATAGATATCCCTGTTATGAATCATCATCACCAATAATACTAGTAGTACCAGCCCCTAACCAACGAACAGGGCTATTTTCAATGGCTCAGGTCTTTGTCCATGTGAAGTACTGCATTGGCGGACAACCAGCTGTTGGTGACGAAGTCACCTTTGACATCGAGCTCTTTGGCAGTGACATTTTTGAAGCGAGCCTGTCGCTGTTGGTTTAAGGGAATGTTTACCGGAAACATCAGGAAACAATAGTTTACACATGACATTTATGTTTATGTAATGTTTACAGCATTGATGTAAAATTATCCGGCTAGTTTTCCTTTCATGAGCTTGTGGGAACATGGACCTACTATTCGTGCCGACATGTTGGACATCGCACGATACAGGGCCTGGGCCACCTGTTCCAATTGACTCGGTTGCTGTTGGATGTGTGATCACCTGGCCCTGAGGAAAAATCCCAAGTGCCCAGAGCAGCCACAAGCGATTCTCAGCTGCAGTACATTTAGAATTACCTTGGGCCAGAGTGGATAGGATTTCAGACAAACATGGACAACATCCCAACATATGCTCAGTCAGGCAGTGCACTACTGGTGCTGGGTCTTTTGCTTCTTTTGCAAAGGTTTGTTTCTCTTTTGTCCAATGAGCAGAAACCATGGTATGCAGCATGATTTGTCAGAAGGGACTCCTTGGGCTGGAATCCATATGATTAGCAGCTGCGCTAGCTCAGGAAGAATGTGCGAGGATGTAGCGCACAAAGGGCTGATGAGGTCAACAAACAGTCCCTTGACACTTGATGAATTTTGATGAGCTATGAAAAAAAATGAAAATGACTTGAAATGAACGTGAAGTTGGACATGTGAAGTTGGACATGATAATGAAATGCCAACTTCCAAATGAAGCCAGCATCGTTGAAGTTGGACATATATAATGCTTTCAGGGTGCCAAGCGGTCTTGCTGTGGTGAGTTTCTTCGAACTTGCACCTTGGAAACCCTTGGAACCAGGATGGTGTTCTATGAACTTACTGTCTTTGGACTGTTGTTGAGGTACAGTACATGATGTGATTTCAGCGATGACTGCAGTCGAATTGGAAGATTTTGACTTTGGCCCTGTATGACAGTGGCAGGACAGCCCCCCGCCGTGTAATGCGATGGCAATATATGGGACACCAGCTGGATTCCCCAAAGTGTCCCCAGTACATTGCCACTATGTTAGTTGCTTCATTGGATCGTTCTATATTCCTCTACATAATATTCTAGATCCTACTAGTAGCCCAGTTTAGTCTACTTGTACTTTAGTACTGTACACCTTTTCACTCAAAAAAACGAGGTTGATTGCTGACATGCTTGGCTTCTTGGTTGCATTTGGGTCCACTGCAATCACTATGAGACTTGGTCAAACAGCTGTGGGCGAAGCTGAGGTATGGGCGACAAGCCTGAAGATGACATGCCCAAAGGAGCATTCGAGGGGATTGTCCCTTGGCCACAGAGTCAGCTTGTCACATCTTGTCACGACATGAAAGCTTGGCTGATATCATTGAAGATCTTGGACTCATGCCAAGGTCAGAGCCTACAACCCTGCGAAAGGCCGAGTGGGTTGTTAGCACATTTTTTTTCCCCAGAAGTTAGATGGAGTTAGGATACTTCCAACTCCAAACTTCAAACAAAAGTGGTAGATGTTTGAGGATTTTGCCAACTTGAATAGCACAAACATGGTATATGAATGCTATTGTTTGTGCAGCGTCTTTTATGTTTCCCATGCGCACATGCAGACACACACACACACAAAAACAGTCACAGACACACATTTGCACACCTTTTGGAAGAGGACCCCCCCCCCATCCTTCGATTCCTCCCTGGTCCAGATTCAGCCACGCATATTATTGGCTCCGCTGCTAGCCTCAAGTGATAAGTTTCCGGATACGGGTTAATGTATCGTCATTGCGGCTCCCAGTTGAAGCACAGTATGTTCTAGATGTGTAGTGCACAAGCAGAAAATTACCTCGAACTCTCAGATAGCCTATTGCTTGGCCACTGTTGAGGGCTTCACCCAGGAGCGCCGACCCCATCTCAATGCGCAAGCATCATCCCCTGCGAGCCCCGGTTCAAGCGTGCCCAGAGTGCTCTGAAGGTCTGCATGGGTTCAGGTTGTGCGTGCCCCAACTGAGTTGACGCGCGCGATTTTCTGCAGCGACGTTCTGTCACTTTGACTAGCGCTTACTATCCGGATCGGTTGGTGCCCACACTGGCAGGGAATAAGCTGCGCGTTACAATCTCCTAGATATGGGTTGCTGTATTGTCATTTCCTGGAAGGAAGGAAGGAAGGCAGGAAGGAAGGAAGGAAGGAGGGAAGGAAGGAAGGAAGGAAGGAAGGATGTCTTGCGTGTGCAAAAGTTCCCCTATTTACTTCAACCTCTTCTGATACCCCTCAGCGCACGCGCATCCTGTTTCACCCAGCACACATGCGATTCCAATCCATGTACGTTGCGTTCTAGACTCATGACAGAAGAAAGTCCAATGCAATGGTTGTTTGCACCTGCCTACTGTGATACTGTTGCCATGGCAATTTTTTCTGCTCAATAAGAAGCAATTCGGTGCTCTACGCATATCACAGACACGCAGCTGAGCTCCGTGCTCCAACTGGAATACTTTACGAGACCACTCGATGTTCTTCACAGGCCATGGACAATGCTCATGTTAGATAAGAAAACAATAGCAGCATGTCCCTTCGCAGCGACACTTATCCCTGAGCCACAAGCCTTTTAATAGTTCCCACGAAACAAAGACGGTTTTGTCTCCTGCAATTCTTGATGTTGACATCCTCGGGCACTTAGCCGCATGAAGGTTACATCCCTAAAGACCAATCCCTACACGCAAAGTGCCTCAACCGAGCGTCCATCGGTTGAGGCACCTTGGCCCCTCTAATTCACATAGCTGGCCAGCAAACTGGCTAACATTATCTTGCTTGTGGTTCTTATTACTGACTATGGCACAGGGTGGGTGGAATTTAGATATTGAGACATATTGAGACAAGATGCATGCAAGAAGTTGTTGATGCCGGGGAAGTTCGGATATTGCAACAACAAAAACATAAGAAGTGGTGGAGAGGCCAATGGGGGAAGTCTACGTATGAAGCGAAATGGGTGCAGGAAATTGAGAGGCACCTAGGGGGAAGGGAAAGTTCGATATTGAAACAGGATGAGCGCAAAAAGTTGTTGAGAGATATGCCCCCACCTACCTTTCGTCCCCCCCTCTCAAGTTATTCAGAGGTTTTGCTGACTTCAAGCTGCAAAGGAGTACCATTCGACAAAACATTTGCAATGTGGTCTGTGCTGGCGGAAGGCCAAGAATGGTCAAGTTGTTTACTGTTGTTTTACACCTGGCATTCAACATTGTTGCACAGCACTATGCCAGGCTTGCGAGAGGGATCGCACATTAAATACGATTAATTATGACCACGACTGACTATGAATATTTAGGGATTATATATATATATTATATAATATGAATATTAATTGACATTATATTTATTCATAAATTATAAATCAAACTTCCTCAAAGACGACCTCTTTGAGCTCCGCAGGTTTTGGCTTCATCGAGCCTGCCATGTATCGCCGGAGCCCCAGCCAGGATGCCACAGGTGAATCCGTGACAGCCGCGGCGCATCGCGGCGCCATCCCAATGGCCCAAGGTCAACCTGTGTTGCTTAGAGCTGTGGATTGTCAACGAGAACCCAAAGTTGGGGACAAGGTGAACTTCGATGTTGAGCCCGTGAAGCTGGACACCGGGGACACCGGGCACCGTGAACTTCTGATGTTACCAGGAAACACTATGAAACAATGACATCTTTTGCTAATGGAAGGGACCATAAGGGACCCGAATCAAAATGAACTGCAAAGAAAGTGCTCTCGGAACCATACCCTTTCAGCGCGTTCTTGGCGTCGACCAGTTTTTCTGTTTTCTCCAGGAGGATGGCACCGTTCAGCTGAAGGCAATCAATGTGAAACTTGGCGAGAATGGCTGGCTTTGGGATGTTTGGGCTTGGGGGATAAATATCCATGAAGTTCCACAACTGACCTCATGGAACTGTTTCAAGATACCAAACTTGGGCCACTTTCCAACTTTCCAAAAGACTTCAAATGTGTGCTCTTGTTAGACTCTTGTTGCTAAAAGGCGTTGCCTCCAGGGACCTTCCCCTCAGGAAAGAAAACAATGGCTCCTTGCAGGTGGTGAAGAGATGCAAACAGTTCGACATGTTTCACCTAGGATGTAAATAATGTACAACATGGTTTGATCCAAACATTCCAAACTAAGACGAACACTTCAATATGTTCAACCCAGCACGGCTTATCAAAGCTTCAGGACCAGTGAACGCCCTGGTGAAGAGCTGGGCGCTGATGGGAAGGCATCACTTTTCTTGGTCAGGTGTTGTGCAGAGGCCCAGAAGATTCTAGAGGTCACCAGTTTGAAAGCAACAGGAACAACATGATTCCCTGCACGATTATGTTACATAATCCATTATTATTATCATTATCATTATTATACTATATACTGTATGTAATTATATATACACATACTTGCTTACAATACAGCAATGATACACAAGTGCATGGTGCATGTGGCATTTGGATGCATTTTGCTCAACCGGTGCCATGGCTATTTGACTCACCATCTCACAATGGAATACAATGGGTATTCCGCACTTGTTGCTTGATTTGATTGAACTACTCCACGAGTGGAGGATATTTGGAATGAGCATGCTGAGCCATGTTTGAAAGATTTGGAATGGAACCTTGCAGTGGATCCTTTGGTTCAACGAGTAGTAATTGGAACTTGTTGTTTCATATTTGTTCGCTATCCCCCACTTGGGATGATTATCCCATATGACTTCCATATCGGGATGGAAACCCCGCGACAGGGCTATGGACCTGTCCTGGAGCGCAAGAAGGGCTGCGGCAGAAAAGGCTCGCAGGATACCGTCAAGGCGCTCTGCTGGAAAATGACGGGAAAACATCATGCTGTAAAGGCTTTAAGCGTGAAACTTGGGAAACTTTAACCATGAAACATGGGGAACTTGGGATTTCAATGGGAAAAAATGACGGAAACGATCATACACCATGGATCACCATGGGATATTTAGGTGATTTCAGACGAACCCGAATGATGACCGAGCCATTGAAACTGGTTGCTGTGAGTTTCGTGCATTGGGTGCCTTGCTGAGTCAACCAGCCGAATCCGTGGTGTGGTACACTCTTGGATTACCGAACGCGGCTGGGGTGACTTGGCTTTATCAGCTGCTGGGAGTGTCTCCCATGTCTCCCATCAGACGGGTTTCCATCTGGACTCAGAGTCATGGGCCCAGGCTTTGCCACCATCCCAGGCAGGAAGTTTTTTTCGTTGACGGCCTGAAGGCTAACTGAGAGCTGGATTTTCTTTCAGGAACTTCAGATGGTGGAAATATGTGGAAATGCGGTACAGATCGCTACCGTATGATACGGTACCAGTATGGTACCATGTGTGCTGAGTTCCGTGGCTCCTCAGCCATTTCGCATTTGCATTACCTTGCCTCGGCAGGATGTACAGACATCTTCGTGCACTCACACCACTGCGTTGGAGGCGTGTCGTTTCCTCGAGTGGCCAGTGGCCATCATTTTCAACACATTTGTCGTGTAAAAAACATGACTTGAGGCGAACTGTGTGCACCCTTTAAGCTGCTGATTGTTGTTGCACTTTTTGTGTTAGTGAACATACGGAAAGCTGATGAAAGTTGTAGTCCTGGGCACTTTAGATATGATGGCAGCCGCCTGGGTCGTGCACCAGGATTTATTCCAACGCCTGGTGATGTGCTGGAGTTCGAACTGGAGAAGGGAAAGCTGGAAAGCCCAGTTGAAGTTAGTTGCTCTACAACTTCTGAGCTAGACATCCTGAAGTCAATGACCGTGAAGAGACGACTGGATGCGATTGGTGCTTCCCTTTGTGCTGAGGAAGAAAGATGGAACAATCAATTTCACTGCGATTAACGTGACGCTGGCTACACCACATGCACCTTGTAGTTCAAGATGAGATTTGACATGTCTACAAGCCGTCAAGCTGCTTCTGATTACGCAGGATCACACACCTAACTTAGCATATGAAACCCTTCCCATGCTCGAATTTGTCAAAGTCCAAAACTTCCAAACCTGTTTGAAGTGTGTCTCCATTGTTTGTATTTGATGTTGATGGCTGAGGTCCCAGCGATGGGTCCCAAACCTGCAGAAAATATTGTCCCCTTGGGCATCAAAAGGATGATGTGCAAGGCACAGGAATCACGACGCGACGATGGACATCAATGGACCACGGACCTGGTTGTTTCGTCTTTCTCATGGACCACTGTGACTGCAGTGTTCTGATAGGGAAGCGTTTCGATGTGCTTCGATGTGCTGCCATCAAGCAATGACAATTTCACGTCTCCCAAAGGCGGACCACAAACCTTTCTGAGTCTTTCTGTCTGTCTGCAGACGGTCTAGGTCCATGGCATGCTCGACAACCAAACACCTTAAAAACCTCAGCGCTGCAATTCCACCTAGTCACCATCGTTTCAACGTGCACAGGTGAGACACGGCGATCCAACTGCTTTTGGAGAATAGCGCCCGCAAAAAATCCTTTTGTATCGCAATCATGGCCATAGAATCAGATCAGTGTTTTAAAGGCATTGGCGCGCTTGCATTTGTTTTCACTGGTTTGCTCCTTAAAGACTCTTTTGGCTTAGGGGCAAGAACATCCAAGAAGTGAGTTTTCGCAATTGGCGCACTGCATTGCCAGACACCAGCTCCAAGCGCTGTTCATACTGTGACTTGATGCAGAGTACGCATTCATTCGAGGGGGAATGAGTATGCTAAGTAAACATTCTGGGTCAAAACAAGTTCATAAATTCAGCGATATGATTCACATGATATTTTTGACTTTTGAGATTCAGATGGCTGAGTGCTTGCCGCCGCATTTTTGGGCTTCCAAGAATCGTCGTGCAGAAGTTTGTGTGAGGCTCTGGGGCTTTCCCATAGATTCGTCAGGGAAGAGGTTGCAGAAGTATGGAGGAATCACAAACAGAAGGTCGTAAAATGTCGTAAAGAGCTGACAAAACCGCAAGGGCATAGGCCAATGATCCAAGATGGGTGGCACTCCTGCCAGGTAGTTCGAATGGAACGGCCTCAAGCAGGTGCTCTGGGAGACGTTCCAATACCAAGGGAGAGGACCAGCGGACGGGGCATCACTGCATCGTGGAACATCTAACATGAATAAGTGAAGTGTTCATCTTGAAATTGTCACATTGGCATGTAGAAAACCAGCATTCCCTCCTGTATTTCATGGATTCTTCTCTTGAATGTGCGGATTCTCATTTGGTCAGCACATTGGATGTTCATAAATAATCAGTTGGAATTCAGAACATCCAATGAAAATCCGCACATGTGCTGCCCAAATAATTCAAAATCATTGGGTTGTCACATTGGATGATTTTCAGTTGGATTTCAATTTCGGGCCACCATTCTGATGCAGGACGCCCTCACCCTTGCGTGCGGTGGGAGATGTTAGATCGGCACCAGCTCCAGCCAGGGATTTTGATATCTCACCCGAGACTTGGAAACGGGGGATTTCACCAGGAAGACCAGGGAATACCAGGAATTTGACTTGATTTAGCAGGATTTAACATGACTTGACCTAACCATACCTAACCAAAATATGGATTTCATCTGGGATTTAAGGAATCACAATTGGGATGCAATAACAATGGGGATTTAGCGGATCAACATGGGGATTCACCAATAACGGGGACTTAAGGGATAGAACTGGGGATCAACCAGTTCATTTGTGAGACAAACCTTGCAGGTTTGAGGAGATCGAAGAGAGGCTTTGGTAACCTTTGGTATGGGGCCTGTTCATGCCTGTTCCATACCGACGGCGAGTCATGGCGAGTCCTAAAAAATCTCAGGACACCACCGATGTGATCTATGCAGAAGATGAGGAGGTCTTCCGAGAAACAGCCGTTCGAGAGCTGCTGAAGTTGGGATTCCTTAGGCCAGTGATTCGGTGGATGCCGGGTATGGGATAGGTCGGATAGGTCGGATAGGTATGGGTTGTTTTGTTCTCCCGGCTAATCACGAAAGCTAGCGTCAGCTAGCTGGAGTCTTCTTGCTTTAGCAAGTATTGGGGGGGGCTGCTCAAGGACATCACGTGATTTTTCACGTGAAAGGGGGCCCCCACCACCACCACCATCATCATCATCATCATCACCATCATCATCATCATCATCATCCTCGTCATCGTCATCGTCATCGTCATCATCATCGTCATCGTCCTCGCCATCGTCCTCGTCATCGTCATCATCATCATCATCATCATCATCATCATCGCCACCACCACCATCATCATCATCGTCATCATCATCGTCATCATCACCGTCATCGTCCTCGCCATCGTCCTCGTCATCACCATCATCATCATCATCATCGTCCTCGTCATCGTCATCGTCATCATCATCATTCATATATCATTGTTGCATCCTCGTTGGGACGAACAATGCCGCGACACGATGATGACAGTCCCTCCGCAACTCACCTCTTCCCTTCCTTCTTTCTCCTACCCCGCTAGCTTTCGTCATCCACCCCCGGCCTCAAGTTATTCAAGGAATATGAGATGGCAAACAAGTTACACATTCGGACTCACAGATACTCACTCGCAGTAGTTCAAGGGCGTTCCAAGGGTTCGTGTGTGGTGGGTCACAGTCACTTATTTAGCACCCGCCAGACTTTAACACGTTTCAAAGTATGGACAGTGACACGGTGCTTTGGCGGTCTTGCAATGTAGTTGCTTAAATCCTGACGCTCAAGAGACCCTACATGAAGCTTTGACAATTTGGCAGCATCCTGCCTTCGCAAGATATCCCGGGAGTTGTATTAGAAACGGTTTCAAGATTATTCTTATTCTTTCTTATTGCTCTCTAGATACATAGTTACACAGGATCATGTTCTTATATGTTCTTAGAGGCATATCAGATACACATTAGATACAGTTCCACTGCATCAGAATGTGCCAGGCAAAATATTCGCGAGGCCGCACTGCCCGGCGCTGCCTGGATCTTGTTATGTCTAAACTCCCAATGCATCCTTTGCAACCCAAGGATCAAGGTCACATCTATCTGAAGAATCTACTGCAAGAAAGACAGGTTAGCGGTTTTAACACACTTGAACATGTTTTACTTTGTTTTGAACACGTCTTAACGTTTTAACGCTATTCAACGTGTTTTACATGTCTTCCCCGTCATATACACAGTATACAATATACATTACTATCGGCGTTGGCCTCTTTATTTGGGCCTTTCTGTTTTCTGGTGTTTGGACCCAGGAACTATTTGCAGATTCCCAGGAACTATTTGCAAAGTTCCAGGAACTATTTGAAAAAACATGCGTTATATTGAGGGGAGTTAGCCAGGGAAATACGATGATGAGTTAGCACAGGCTAGCTAAAGGGAAAACAGCAACAAAACACTAAAATGCCCTTAAGTGCTGAGTCTAACTGATTTCAGCTCACCAGTGCGTCCCTATTGTGCGTATATGGAAATGACAGTACTCATGAGTTATGGTATGGGATATGTGCACCCATAGCATGCCAACATGTTCCCTTGCTAAACTTGGGAATCTCGTGTGTGGAAACAAGCGCCTCGGGCATAAAAATACCTATTTGATTTGATAAATCAATCGGCCAATCATATCAAGAGCCATGTCAAATATCCCAGAACCAAAAAAATATGGTTCAATGAGCCAACGAATAAAAAACAATTCCAGCCGGTTTTGGTGTATCATTCAGCGGAAAAGATGCAAAATGCAATAAAATCATTTCCAGCCTTACTGAGCCATGGAAACCAATCAGGCCAAAAAAGAAAAAACAATTCACCCCCGGGCCGCCCAGAAGAAAATGCGGTGAATCAAAGTTCGCGGGAGCAAAAGCCACAGCGCACCCAGCCCAAGCTAACGCGTTGGACAAACTTCACCAGCACCAGCACCACCAGCACCACCAGCACCACCACCACCACCAGCAGTTCCAGAAATGAAAGCACGCCCCAAAGTGTAGGCCCAAGCGCAAAAAACCACCACCCGTGCCAAAAAGCCAAGCAAACCCCAATCTGAGACCCAAAACAAACAGCGTTCCGTGTCCTGGGGAATGTAGCTAGTTTTACGGTATGTCGACTGCAACTGAATGTACTGTAAAATACTGTGTATAATTTGTTTTCAGTTTTATGTCATGAGCCTTGTCATGAATCAAGTCAATTCAAGTTCCAAAGATTATGATACCCTATCGTATCCTATCTCACAATCCTAGGCAGCAGCGTACCAAAAGGGCGGCCATGCAAATGGTGAACTTGATTGAAGGCTGTGGTGGTGCTGGCCAAGGAACCTAATATATCCTCCAGCCACTCTCGTATCACAAATTGCGTCATTCGTCATGTCCGTGAGACTTTTGACAGTTTACTGTTTGCCCCTGTTTAAATGCAACTCCGCGGCGCGAAGTTGAACTATGTTGAACTCAGTAAATGTCAGCACTCAATATAGTTCACATGATCAGAGGTTCCATAGTTGAGATGCCAAGGGTTCACACATCGCAAAAAATGAGCCAACATTGAATGAAAATTTTCGGGTGAGTCCAACATGTGAACAGTAGCATCAGGGTCAGTGTGAGTGACCATGTCGTATTGTAAAAAGGAAAAGCAGAAATCAGAATGGTCAAGACTCCACTGTTTCTCTGGTTAGCAAAATGAGCGACAAACTGGCGACCTTCCCAAGACACGCAATGATCTAACTGCGGCGGAGCATACAAGGTCTCAAAACCAAAGCGCGGCATACCTGCTGATAGTTTGCAAGGACCTGACTGTGACTACGCGTCATCACCGTTGGACGAGGTTTTTTTTTTTTTTCGCAGGCCTTTCCTAAGGACACCATATCTTGTAGCTTGTGAGATTCCAGGTAGAGAGGCCACAACAATCACCCGATTCTGGCTGTAAGATGCTGTAAGTTCGAGGCAGCCCCTGAAATCGAAAATCTCGTTTTTGCAACCTAAGACTTCGGTATCTGGTACCTCGTCGGACCATGGCCGCCAGAACTTTCTCGGTGACAGGTTTTCCGGGCTTTGGGGTTTCGGATTGCCGAGAAGGGTGTCGTCGCCCTTTCGGCGACAGGTTTTTTGGATTTTCTATTCGCTATGAATGGCAAAATTCCAGGAACTATTTATAAAATTCCAGGAACTATTTATAAAATTCCAGGAACTATTTGTAAAATCTCAGGAACTATTTGTAGATCATCTTAGCGGACCCCAGGCCAGCCCAAGAAAGGATATCTGCAAACATTCCACCGTCGCTGCTAGAGCAAGCACTTTGTCAAGTACTGCCGGGACAAGTTCGGGTCGACCGTTTGACTAGAAAACCCAACTTTCGGACACCGAACCGGAAATCATGAACCTTTTGCAGACTGAGGGATTTTGGACATTCAATTTGTTTCTTTGGTCGTTTCTCAGCAGATATTGATTGCATAATCTACTAAAAATACCCCAAAAAAGGTAGACTGACCACTGACCAACAGACAAACCTGACAGAAGGCCGATTGGGTTTGAAGATCATTTTTTTGATTTGTGTTGAGCTCACACGCAGGTTCAGCAAAAATTGTAAATGAGTAATAGGTCCGCATATCATATCCTGGATCTCGCTTTTTCTGGGCTAAGCTGGGTTAGTTCTTGGTTTTGATTTCTGATTTTGGATTTTAGAAACAGTTGGGAAGGCAGCAAAGATTAACAATAGATCGACACCGTTCCAAACCGTTCTGAGCTGGTTATTCTTTTTGTACTTTACAGGGTTAATAAATAGATCGGAACCGTTCCGAACCGTTCTGATCTATTTATAACTCTGTGTAGTTTACGGGTTTTATAAATAGATCGGAACCGTTCCGAACCGTTCTGATCTATTTCTACGTACAGGGTTTGTAAATAGTTCGGAACCGTTCCGAACCGTTCTGATCTATTTATACGTACTAGGGTTTATAAATAGTTCGGAACCGTTCCGAACCGTTCTGATCTATTTATACGTCGCATTTTATGAATAGTTCGGAACCGTTCCGAACCGTTCTGATCTATTTATACGAAAAAAGCAAAATTGATCCAATTAGTTCCAAATAGTTCCAAATAGTTCCGAGTTTATAAATAGTTCGGAACCGTTCCGAACCGTTCTGATCTATTTCTACGTACAGGGTTTATAAATAGTTCGGAACCGTTCCGAACCGTTCTGATCTATTTATAAAAACGAATGTATAAATAGTTCGGAACCGTTCCGAACCGTTCTGATCTATTTATAAAAACGAATGTATAAATAGTTCGGAACCGTTCCGAACCGTTCTGATCTATTTATAAACAGAAACGGTTATACATAGTTTGGAACCGTTCCGAACCGTTCCGATCTATTTTTAAAAACGGATGTATAAATAGATCGGAACCGTTCCCAACCGTTCTGATCTATCTGCAAGACTGTCTACATAAAGAATTTATAGATAGATCGGAACCGTTCCCAACCGTTCTGATCTATTTATAAACTTGGATGGATAAATAAATCACAACCGTTCCAAGACGTTCTGATACATTTACCAATTTTAGAGATAGATTGGAACCGTTCCAAACCATCCTGATCCATATAGTTATCAAGTATGTATGTTCTACTTCTGAACTTCCAGAAGTTACTTGGTCATTAGCCATAGCTACATTTTCAACTATATCTTCAAAATATGTGCAAAACTAAAATGAACTAACCATTGTTTCTGGTGGTCTTAAACTTAGAGTATTGGAATCATATGTTCAATAATAAACCACCAAAAGTCGGGGTAGCTTAAAACACTGGCCCAAAACCCATAAGCGTACGACTATTATTGTAGACAGATGGTTTGGTGACTGCTTTGGCCTCACTATGTTTTTTTAAATAGGCCCAGGAGTTTGGAAACAAAAAAACGCCAGTATCAGTATAATGCAGTAAATAGCTTCTGGGATTCTATAAATAGTTTCTGGGATTCTGTATATAGTTCCTAGGATTCTACAAATAGATCCTGGGTAGCTATGGCCCCTAACACAGAAAGAGGCCAAAGCAGTAAGTAAAATATACATATAATCATATGTATATATAATTATACATATATATATATATTATATACACACATGATCACACATGCATCTTCGTGAAGGTGTTCTTTTCAACCCGAGGCTGAAAAGGCTGAAATTTCTGCCTTTGTTGGATTTCTCGCCCGAGGCTGTTTTTTCAGCCCGAGACCATATAAAGGCAGATATAATAATATATAGGTTATATATATATTATATCACATATATATATTATATTATAGCATCAAATGCATAGCACATGCATGAAGATCGTTATATGCCCGCCAGACTGTTCAAAAACAAGCAGTAAAAGTGTGATCGCTGCAATAATAAACGTTGCAAATCAACACCATGTTGAAATGCATTTGGAGGTCCCGACAACACAGGTTAGAAGCGTTTGATAAATCCCGAAAAATACCAAACCAATGTGCTCCCACATTCCTATCACGGCTATTCTCGCCCGATCACCGCAGATTCTCGCCTGAATCATACCGATTCTCGCCGGAGTTCAAATCAGCAAAATCAGCTAACATTTGTTTAGGTGGAATATTTGGTGATTATGACAGCTCATTTTGCGGGTTCTACCCCCTGACCATGAACTCTTTTTTGGAACCCAAGCGATTGCAGTTGATCACATTTCAACAGATTGTGCAGGGCAAGGTAAAGGGGGAGCGGCACCTTGTTGAAGAGCCGCAGCTATGGATGAAAAGTGCTCATACCCTACGCTTGTAATTGAGCCTGCCCGAATCCCTAAAAGGCTGAAAATCCTGTTCAGGCTGAAATTGAAGCTTCAATAATTACATGATATGCACATAATATATATATATATATATGTGTGTGTGTATATGATGCAGCCATACACATAATATACAATCACATGTAATATATATATAATATATATATATATACATACACATATGTATATACATACCGTATGTATATGTATATATATATATACATACACATACATCAATACAATATCTATAAATAATGATATCAATACATATTAAACATATGTATTATGTATACATTTGGCTTCAGCAGCCCTTGACCTACTAGGGTCTTGACTTAAGTCGCATCTTCTTGTTGAAGTCGCATCTTGATTGGCGCCCGCCACACAAAACACAGTTTTACTCAAATCTTGTGATTTGATATTTGTACTAAATCATACATGATTGCCGTTTTACCAGCGCGCCAGCTCGCTTTTTCCATGGTTGACCTAGTTCCATAGTTGACTTTTTTCATTATATATATAATTATATATATAATTATATATATAATTATATATATATAATTATATATATATAATTATATATATAGAGGTTTTTTTTGCCCCAGATAGCGAAGCTATTGGGGTTATTACTTCAAGTATAGGTTGGTGTGCCTTTAAGCCTCGTTTAGGCATCGTTTTGGCCTCGTTCTGGCTGCGTTTCTTTTTGCTTATGCTACGGTTGCAGTGGTGCTGCGAGCAGCAAAAGCAGCACAAGCAGCAGAAAGAGCAACGCACAAGCAGTAGCACCAGCACCGAACCTGCTCGTGCTGCTCGTGCTGCTCGCCCTGCTTGTGCAGCTTGTGCAGCTTGTGCAGCTTGTGCTGCCTGTGGTGCTTCTGCTGCTTCTGCTCTGATGCTTCAGGTGCTGCTGGTGCTGCTGGTGCTGCTTGTGCTGCTTCTGCTGCTTCTACTGCTTCTGCTGCTGGTGCTGCTTCTGCTGCTCGTGCTGCTTCCGCTGCTTCTGCTGCTGCTGGCTCTGACCAACGCCGCGTCGCAAAACCAAGGCCCTAAGGCAAAAGTGCATTATGATTTCGCAGGTGATTCCAAAGGAACAAGTGCATGTTGACTGCGCGCAATGTTTCCTTGATTCCATCCACTTTCTATGATTTGCGGAATTCATTGGTGCCCGCAATGAATCATTGCAAATAACAATGCTTGTGATGTGACTTCAACGGCGTGATGTGCCTAGTGTTTTTCACAGCGCCTGCCACACAAGATGTGCCTTCAGCGGCGTGATGTGAGTTAAGTCGGCAACTTGTACCCGTGGATCAGCGCTCCACTTGTGGGGGTTTTCAGGCCGACAATGGCCTCGAAGCGTTAGAGCACCTCGCGCGCTTCCAAAACGAGGATGCTCGGCCGGTGGTTTACAGCTGTGGTTGTGGGGGTGCCGTTAGGCAATGGACCAATTGATAAGTTGAAGATGTTGAAGCTTGGTTTTTTTTGGAATATGTTGAATCCATTGAAATCATTGAAATTGGATTTTGAAGGCAGCAATGGATCGGATTCAATTAAGTCGAGATTCCAAGTTGGACCAGCTCGAGAAAAAAGACTGACTTGGATTAATTGTTCGTGAACTTGTCCGTGAAAAACCTCTGCAGCCCAGAGCCGCCAGCACGGCAATGAAGTCCATGCCATGACAACTGAGGGCCACATCACAAAGCCCCTTCTGGTGCTTCTGGATGTCAGAATGCCTGGCATGGACGGGCGAGAATGTGCATTGCAGATTCAAGAGCTTGTGAAACAGAGTCTTGGCGGATGATAGATGTGATCGGATCTGACAACTGTAATGTTTGTTCAAAACTGGGGCGTGGACCGCTTTCCAATTGAAATTGTTTTCAAAAGTAGCGGCTGCTAAATTGCTTGACCCCATGAACACCACATGTCCCGTGAATTTACAAGTGTGATACCAGTCATTGACAGGACCAGATGTCCAACTTGTGTGAAAGAGTCTGAAAGAGCAAACCATCGTAAACCTCACTGGTGGTGTCCTCGGCGGGAACATGTTCTGCCTTCTTGAATGATTGGTGATTTAGCTGGGCAGTGTTTGAATTTCATGGGAGTCTTAAGGGGGCACATTTTTTCGGAAACTGAATCTATTTGAATCTCATCTCCATCCCAAACAAGCACCTTAAGTCGACGGAGGAAGCAGCTTCGAAGGGAACCGTATGTGGTATGCATCTCTTCCATTGCGAGACAGGCTGTTCGCCATCGTGAGTTTTTTGCATGTCCTTGAGAACAGCCGGTGGTTTTGTATTGCTGGCTTTCCAATGCGTTTGACATCGTTTGACGGTGACATAGACCCTTGAGATCACCATTTTGCAGATCATTTTGCATAAATATGGTGAATGGTTTTTAATGGTGTTTATCGCTTTGAAGTCGCAACCGTGCAGACAGGGACGGAAAAGGGAACCGTATCTTCTAACATGGGGGATCGGCATGGATCAGCCCAGCATGGCCATACCTTTTGTATCCTTTTGTCAGGTAGAGGTTGATGAAGGAGGTGGCAATTTTCAAATTGTATCTTGGTCTCAGGTAGGCTGTGTGCGGCAAGCTGAAACAGGCTCGTGATCATGAAAGACTTTCAACAGACCACAGTAATCACCGTGTGCCTTGTGTTTATTTGCCACAGCTTGAAGAAACTTAAACAGGATTTAAAAGCTATTGAAGGAATTTGCCGACTTTCCAGCTTAGATGCCTATTTGCAAAATCTTGCCACTGTCGCAACTCTGCTTTAGCTTAGGTGTTGCCAAAGCCTATAACAGCTCCGCAGCAGCAAAATGATGGAGCAACATGGAGCAACCCAAAATACTCAAAGCTGGACGGACAATGCTGTGGAGTATTGTGGAGTCAGCAAACCATTTTTTCATTTGTTTTCACTGCAGGCACTTTTTGATACTTTTTGTGCAATTGCTGCATCAGATACGGTTTACACACTTGCGTGCTTTGAAGTGAGTAGAGATTGTGAGTTGTAGGCAAAGATTTCGCGCAGGATGGCTTAATAGCCGTACAGAGCTACAGTGTTCTGTTTTGCTCACAATCCATACTGTTGAGATTCGAGATGTATTTAGATCTTTTCAGTCATCTGCTATGTGATCTATGTGTATGAGCGCTCGTGTAATATTGGAGCAACTGCCACAAAGTATACCTCTCTCCGACACGGTGGCCGAAAAATTCTTAACAAGTTGCCAAGGTCCAATTCATTGAGGATTCCTTTGAACACCTCAGACAATGGTGGACATTAGGCCACGCCCACGGGGAGTCCATGATCGAGGGTTCTTTGATATTCTTTAATGGTCTGTGCAAAAATGGGAACCCAAATGAAAATGCAGGTTTCGGTCGACAGCTTCCAGCTTGGAAGAACTTTAAAGCTGAATCGATCGCAGCTTGGTATGGAACAAGTGGCTGGGTACCTGAAACGGATTCAGCATGGGATGCTTGTCGTACTTTCACGGACCCATAGATCAAGAACGATGAACAATGATGAACCATGACTAAACATGATGAAACACGATGAAGCAATGATTCCCTTGAAGGGGATTTAATATGGTTCTGCATTCACAGGTACTTGACTTGATCCACATCAGATTGGATGCCTGCCTGTGTTCGAGGCCCACCAACCGACCAACCCGTCCAGCTCAGCCCCACTTTTGGCACTCAGGATATTATAGCAGCTGATGAGGAGAAACTTGGCTAAGGTGATGGAAAGTGCCGAAGATGGGCGACAGGATAAATATTGTAGCATATTGTAGCTGTGCTGATAGCATCTATTATCTGAATGACTGAATGTATCATTAATATTGAATAATGTATCTGACATCTGATATGTGTCGATGAGTCGATGAGGCAGCTTCTGCTAAAACATGGTATTGACATGTAGCAAGGGCGTGTAGGCACTCAGAAAGTTTTCAGAAGGGGGGAGTTTTCCGCCAATTTCGGCCAACTCTGGACACCGCCTGAGGCCTGTATGCCGAATGGCATCACAACTGGCTTTTGTACAGGTGGGTGTGCAGCAAGCTGCAGTGGTCGATGTGGAATCAGAGGACAGGTGGGTCACCCCAACTGCTGGGACGCTGTGAGAGACATTTCGACAATTTTGATTCATGATATTCATATTATATTCATGATATTTCATGTTTCATAATTTTGAATCCATCAGCATCATCAGCACATATCAAGATCCGCTCAGTTCATCCAGTGGATCAGCAATGTGTTCCTCTTTTCCAGCATAAAGGAAGAGCTCATAGAACAGCTGGCCGAAGTGCAGGCGGAACTGGGTCTACCCATGATACACCAGGGCAATTTTAATGTTGGATTATGTGACATAACGACCACGGCAAGATTTCAAAGTCTGTTGTCATCCTTTCCTTGCATCGGTTTTCATTGCTCTTAGTAGAGCTATGACAGCGAAAACAGGCAGCTGATGGCAGGTGTAGCTTTGATTCTTCTCTGGAGCTTGAGCACATTGATCATGGCTTGGCAGGCAGGGGATCAGACCCGCCCTTTGATCCTCTTGCTGGGAAAAGAGGCATGATGGGAACATGATGGGAACATGATGGGAACATGATGGGAACATGATGGGAACATGATAGGAACATATTATTGCCATTTCTTGCCCACGACTCCGCTTGAATTTTAATGCGCAAAAGAATAGGCACAGGGTAGGCCAAGACGCACACCACAGAATCGACAGTTCACAGTGGTCTAAAAGCGGAAACCAACAGCGATCCCATTGGTCAGAGCAGGAGTGGGCGAGCCAGGTGTACGAGTGGGTCGAGGAGAGTTCTATAAGTTCTATGCAACAGTTCCACTGCAAGTGCATAGTTCCACTGCAAGTGCCGGCTTTACCACATGGAAAACGGCTGTTACAAATTCCAAAGTGATGCTGATGCTATACTGTTGTGACCAATGGCATTAGCAACGGTAGGCCACACTTCATGATATTAAAGGATTCACTTGTGGCAGCGCCTGCGTTCTTCTTGAGGAGCAAAAGCGTGGACAGGCCGGCAGTGATGTAGCAAAATGTTTTAAGACCGGCCAATCAGTCAATCTGATGTGGACCTGTTCTTGGAACCGCTTGCAGTATTCGGGCATTATTTTGAGTCAAAGAACCTTGATACCTCAAATCCCTGGGGCTGAACGATGAATTGTAACACTGCAATTTGATACAGCGCACTTGCATTGATGGAACCGCACTCTTGCTCAGCACAAATAATTAGTGACGTGCACAAATCGAACATTTCAGTGTTCCGATAATTTCTGATATAAATTTGTAACTACTGGGTTTACGCTAGTCAGCTGAGGGGCCCGAAATGGTTGTTTTGCGTGATCGTAGCAGTGTTCAGTGTTCAAAGACAACAGAGCACCCAGCAAAATGTATGTTCCAATATTGTGCATTAGGCTTTGTCTGAAAAAACGGTACCCCATTTCATCCACTGAATTATCATATTCCATCATATTCCATTATATATTCCATCATAGTATAAGTCATTCCATCATTGTCCACCATTTTCCATCAAATTTCCATCAAATTTCCATCAATTTTCCATCAAATTTCCATCAAATTTCCATCACATTCCATCACATTCCATCATATGCCGTCGCACTCCATCAGATTCCATCATATTCCATGATGTTCCATGGCATTCCATTCGCATTTCATCATATTTCATCATCTTTCATCATATTTCATCATATTCCATCATATTCCATACCCTCAACTGAGCCTCAACTACAAAGTGTCTAGACTGTCGGTGGGGTGCGCCCCAAAAGCGCTAGGGCCTGAAATTGTTTTTCATTGCATTGTAGACCTTGGGGCTCTGACCATTGTAGACCTTATCATCTTGGATGCACCATATAAGACCTCGACCTCAAGACCAATATATATAGACCTTTTTGGTGGTGTTACCATTTCAGACCTTACAATAATGGGAAGATTGGTCCTTCATGCAGTTGCCAGGGGTGTATGCTTCCTCTTGGAACGGTCTATGACTATGATGATAAAATTCAGTGATTGGTGGCTGGATGTTTACAGAACCAGTGGTAGACATGACTAGGCAGCGCTAGAGAAAGTAGGCTTCTACTAAGTAGCTTGGGTCTACTTTGATGTCATTGGGCTTGTTACGGGTTTTTGGACTGCCAGCCCCAGGCAACACCATTCTAGACCTTCCCATGTCATCCATGCGGCAAGCGGGCAATGCAATGCAACAGTTTTTTGAACAGTCTATGATGATAGGCTTAATAATTGGTGGCTGCATGTGGCTGCATTTTGAAAGAAGATGTGGTAGACATGAGTAGGTAGTGCTAGAACATGCAAGTTTCTACCAAGTCGTTTGGTCTACTTTGATATCATTGTTTTTTTTTGTGCTTTGGGGCTGCCCACCCCAGGGAACACCATTCTAGACCCCATCATTTCATGTATGCTGCCTGCAAACGAGCACTGCAACAATTTTTGGAACGGTCTATGATGATGAAATTCAGTGATTGGTGGCTGGATGTTTACAGAACCAGTGGTAGACATGACTAGGCAGCGCTAGAGAAAGTAGGCTTCTACTAAGTAGCTTGGGTCTACTTTGATGTCATTGGGCTTGTTACGGGTTTTTGGACTGCCAGCCCCAGGCAACACCATTCTAGACCTTCCCATGTGATCCATGCGGCAAGCGGGCAATGCAATGCAACAGTTTTTTGAACAGTCTATGATGATAGGCTTAATAATTGGTGGCTGCATGTGGCTGCATTTTGAAAGAAGATGTGGTAGACATGAGTAGGTAGCGCTAGAACATGCACGTTTCTACAAAGTCGTTTGGTCGGTCTGCTTGGCATAGGCATCGCTTCGGGATACGTCGGGTGCATCGCTTCGGGCTACGCCTCATGCATCGCTTCGGGATACCTCAACATCATCATCATCATCATCATCACCATCATCACCATCACCATCACCGTCGTCGTCCAGAATAGACATGTTTAAATCATTATCATCGTCATGTTACCCATCATGAGGGGTCGGAGGGCGGGTACCCCATCATCATGTTGTCCACTCATGGTTGACCATCATGTTGACCACCAAGTGAGCATCATCATCATCATCATCATCTTCATCATCATCTTCATGATCATCCTTTTTACACGCATTTTCTTCCTCCGAGTATTATTCATCTTCATCTTTTTCATGTTCATGGTGATGATAGCGTCAGGAGAAGATGTGATAGCGTGAGATCATGTTGGTGTGCAGGTGAAAGAGAAGGTCGGCTAATGGTGTAATGATGGAGTCAAGTAATGGCTGAGTCAAGTAATGATGTAAGTAGAATGACCCCTCCCCCCCAAACAAACCCTAAATGGCTGAGTCAAGTAATGATGTAAGTAGAATGACCCCTCCCCCCCAAACAAACCCTAAATGGCTGAGTCAAGGAATGATGTAAGTAGAATGACCCCTCCCCCCCAAACAAACCCTAAATGGCTGAGTCAAGTAATGATGTAAGTAGAATGACCCCTCCCCCCCAAACAAACCCTAAATGGCTGAGTCAAGTAATGATGTAAGTCGAATGATCCCCCCCAACCAAAACCTAAATGGCTGAGTCAAGTAATGATGTAAGTAGAATGACCCCTCCCCTCCAAACAAACCCTACATGCCTGAGTCAAGGAATGATGTAAGTAGAATGACCCCTCCCCCCAACCAAACCCTAAATGGCTGAGTCAAGTAATGATGTAAGTCGAATGACCCCTCCCCCCAACCAAACCCTAAATGGCTGAGTCAAGTAATGATGTAAGTAGAATGATCACCCCCCAACCAAACCCTAAATGGCGGAGTCAAGTAATGATGTAAGTAGAATGACCCCTCGCCCCCAAACAAACCCCAAATGGCTGAGTCAAGGAATGATGTAAGTAGAATGACCCCTCCCCCCAAACAAACCCCAAATGGCTGAGTCAAGTAATGATGTAAGTAGAATGACCCCTCCCCCCCAATCAAACCCTAAATGGCTGAGTCAAGTAATGATCTAAGTAGAATGATCCCTCCCCCCAACCAAACCCTAAATGGCTGAGTCAAGTAATGATGTAAGTAGAATGACCCCTCCCCCCCCAACCAAACCCCAAATGGCTGAGCCAAGTAATGATGTAAGTAGAATGACCCCTCCCCCCCAAACAAACCCCAAATGGCTGAGTCAAGGAATGATGTGAGTAGAATGGCCCCTCCCCCCCAAACAAACCCTAAATGGCTTAGTCAAGTAATGATGTAAGTAGAATGACCCCTCCCCCCAACCAAACCCGAAATAGCTGAGTCAAGTAATGATGTAAGTAGAATGACCCCTCCCCCCCAACCAAACCCTAAATGGCTCAGTCAAGTAATTATGTAAGTAGAATGACCCCTCCCCCCAACCAAACCTTAAATGGCTGAGTCAAGTAATGATGTAAGTAGAATGACCCCTCCCCCCCAACCAAACCCTAAATGGCTCAATCAAGCAATGATGTAAGTAGAATGACCCCTCCCCCCCAAACAAACCCTAAATGGCTGAGTCAAGTAATGATGTAAGTAGAATGACCCCTCCCCCCCGAACCAAACCCTAAATGGCTGAGTCAAGTAGTGGTGTAAGAACCAAAACCTAAATGGCTGAGTCAAGTAATGATGATAAGAACGATGTTTGCCGTGTTGCCCAAAGTGATGAAATCCGTGTTGCCCAAAGTGAGCGTCCAAAGTGTGAGGAGTGTGTGATTTCTGGATGTTGCCTGAAGTGATGCGTTTGGTGTTGCCGTAAGTGATGCGGGTGCCGTCTGCTTTGATATCATTGGATTTGTTTTTGTGCTTTGGGGCTGCCCGCCCCAGGGAACACCATTTTAGACCCCATCATTGAAAATGTGCAGGGTCTAAAATAGGTGCAGGATAATGTAACTCTCGAAGGTCTGACATGTTTTCTGTTTGCTTATGTTTATTTGATGCTGTGGACCAGAAAACATTCCAGACCTTTCATCTCAGACCCTGCCGCTGGAGGTCCAAGGGTCTACTCTACTCCCCTTCAAATTTCATGGTGGGCCTGGGAAACTTCATTTTTAGGGCCTGCAATGAAAGTGCCAGGGTCCCTGCCTTGTAGCTGACTGGATTATATTCCATCACATTCCATCGCATTCCAGCGTATTCCAGCATATTCCATCACATTCCATCGTATTCCATCACATTCTATCGTATTCCATCATATTCCATCACATTCCATCATATTCCATTGAGAGTTGGGCAGCTACCTAGAAAAGCACATAGGAAGACTCCAGGTTGTACCAAATAGGGGGGTTGGGGTGGAAGTGCATGTAGCACAACATCTCCCAGGGACTCTGTGGGGTCGACATTGCAAATAAAAGGGCAAGAATGCCCGGAACACCTGTCCACGAAATTTGCCATAGTTAGAGCTTCGAATCCCCTAATTTGTTGTGCAAAGACTTGCAAAGATAGGCCAAGAGGGGAAAAACAGTGGGTGCATTGTTTGGCTGAGACAGGTGGCTATTCTAGGTACTTTACTATTAGATGGGTGATAACAGTATGAAATGCAAAGACTTAACGCCTCTACACGAACACCACGCGAACATGCCCAGAATAAAATGTAGGGACCTGACCCATTAATTTTTTTAGTCCTGGCCGAATGCAAGAAGTCTAAGGCAAACTGCCTTTCCAAAATTAAAAAAGGGGCTTGAGCCACTTGGGCCTTGAGCTATGCACAGGGGTTGGGACCACTGATATCATTGGATGTTTTTGACTAAAAAGGGTAACGCCACCAAAATATTTTACCGACCTTACCCGACCTGGTCGGTACAAACGGGGCTTCCATTAAATTCCAGTATTAAAGCCATACAACATCATACAACCATATTCTATTCCACATCAAAAAAAGGCGTCCCGACCCAAAAGATTTGAGCCAGGCCTTGCGGCGTGCCCCCTTTGTGGTTTGCACCTCTGTTCCTTGGACGAGATCCTGGGAATGTCCCACTGAATGATGGTCCCACTGGTTTATGGTAAACAATGGTAAAGATATTGTAACAGTCCAATGGTTTATGTAACGCTCTTTTGGGGCGTGCACCATTTTTGTCCAAACCCAAGTTGGTCAAATTTAAACTTAAGTGCTACTACATGGGGTCACCTTGACTAGTTGAACAAGTTGGTTGGATACGGCCGGCACTGGTTGGATACCGGATGCACGCGTCACGCACCTTGGCTGCCAGCAATGCTGAGCACAGGTGGGAGTTTGCAAAAACCCCGCGCCTATGCGTTTAGCCTTCCATGATCCCCCATGAGTCATTTTTAGCTTTCACTGAAAAAAACGATAAGAGGAAAAAAACGATAACGTTGGTTATGTTAATGATATGTGTCCAGACTCTTGAAATCCAAAGTTCTTGATTTTTTCATCATTCTGCGGCTATTTAGTGCTTTTGGTCTCTTCCTTTCATTGTTTGTTATCATAATGGCGCAGATTCTACACAAGGAAGGTGCCTGGTAGGTGGTCGCTACACTCCTTTTTTGATGATTGCAGCCATTTCCAGAAAAAAAGGAACACACACAGGATTCACGAATGATAACAAAACGATAACGAACACGATAACTTTTGGCATCAAAAATGGTCCGTGAGAGACACTGCCTTTTTTCCCCTTTTCCTCTCCCTTTCTTCTCCCTTTCCTCTCCCTTTCCTGTCCTTTTTCATGTCTCTTCCTTTACTCTTCCTTTTCCTTCTCCTTTCCTTTTTCCTGTCCTTTTTCCTTTCCTTTTTCGTTTCCTTTTCCGTTCCTTTTCCTTTCGTTTTCCTTTCCTTTTCCTTTTACTTTCTTTTTCCTTTCCCTTTCCTTTTCCTTTCCTCTCCCTTTCCTTTTCCTCTCCCTTTCCTTTTCTTTACTTTCCCTTCCTTTACTATTCCTTTTCCCTTTCCTCGCTCATGTGAATTCTTTGATCAAGGTGTGATAAGAGGAAAAAAAAGATAACGTCTGGAAAAACCATTTGAAAGAGCTCGGGTTTTTTACACACACCCAGGTGGATAGTGATCGCATTGGGGCCTCCGTGTCCAATGAACTCTTTCATGCGTTCCTGCCACGAAATTTTGTGCAGAAGGACCGAGGGGATCTGGGGGCCCAGGGGCAGCTGCCCCGGCAGATTATGTGGCTGACACTGGGATGTACGAATAGCTGCAGATAGCAGTTTGTTCGAATAAACATAAGTAGGGACGACATTTACCTCTCTTCGTGAATACTAAGAGCACGATCTCTGATATCCTAATATGCATTAATTATTGACGTCGGTTCGCAAAGACGCTGAAGTCCTGGATTTCCTTTGAAACGTCAACAGCTGCTCTGCAGGACGTCAAGTGGAGTCTTGAATATTGCAGGCAAGCGAGGGGCCATCGAGAGGAAGTGGAGCGATGCTGTGAAACCTCAGTCTCTCCCTTGTCGTCGCATCGCTTCCGCTATCTTTCGCTACAACGTTTGGAAGTAGCACTACTACATTACTTTGCACATCTTTGCATTGCCTTACATAATCTGTGCATGTTGCATGATTTTACAACATGTTAAGACTGCTGGAACACCACGACAGAGTTGTTGTGTCGGTTGGGCGGTTGCAGGCTCTGGTGGCTAACGAGATCGGTTGAGCCATATCAGAAGCCAACCGATCAGGCCTTATGCGGGTGTTTGTAGCCTTGGTGAAGGATCATTCAACAGCACAAGGAACATTCGACAGCACATGAAACCATTTTGTGCAGTAAATAAACTATACGTTTGTATATCCACGATATCCTATTTCTAAGTTCTACTTGTATATACAATCATTCATTATTAGCACTTTGATAAATGCATTCATAAATGCAAATATATACAAATATAACTCACACAACTGCTCATTACATGAACACATTGCCTTAACATGCCATTTTGATCATATTCAGCGGCACAGGATCAATTCTCTGATGAAGACTGTGTCGCAGAAGAGCTTTCTGATGAGGTGCTGGGTGTCCTGCAGAGTCATAGCAGATCCAAGGATAATGAGGGAATGCATGGGAATGGATCATTAGGAAATATTAGGGAGATTGAAGATATTGAAGGAGTGATTGATTTTGGTCTGTCCATGCTGGAGAGGCTTGCCTTTTTCTACTATTCAAGCAAAAAACGTACATCTTCGATATCCAAATGCGTCACAAATGGAACGGCAGTGATGGCACGGACCACTACTCGATGATTAAAGTGATTAAAGTGATTAAAGCAAGAGGCAAAGGAATGTCATGACCTTGCGAGACAACTTTTACAGTATATTATATTAATTATATTGATCAAAATTTGTGAGCAATGTGTTTTCCTCAGGCAAGGTGAATCATGTTGCTGACAGGACCACTCCGATGTGGATTGAAACGTGCGCGCCTGTAAGGGGCCTGCAGAATGCAGAATGGACCCAGACTTACTGCAGACCAGCCTCAGCCAAAGTCGCTTTCACAGGGATTGCCATGGAAACAATCAATGCGTACAAAGTCAGCTACTGGCAGCAATATTATTCCAAAGCATTGAGAGGTGGGCATTTGTTGTTGCCAACAAACTGCCCGACTGCCCTATCTTGAATGTCCACAAACAGAAGGGAACAGATCTATGCATTGAAGTGTTACAAGTATCCAAGAGCAAGTATTGGAAGTTGGTGGTGTCCATTTCATGGTGCCACTGCATTTCTTTGCTTTGACAAATACACCCCGTTGTTATGAAGTCAGTGCCTTGGCTCTGGTTTTTCCAGCCTCGAATAGCCAAAGCATTCGCAGAGCAGCGTTTCACCCTCGCATGAGAGGTTAAACCGCGTTGGAAAAAGAGCTGACAAATTTGTGGAGGACTTGCCACTGGAGCAGTCAGCAGGATGTGAGGTCTGGCGTGATGACATTGGCACTTTGGGGATCAGTTCCTAGACGTTGATCTATCAATTGGTTGTGTACTTTGAGAGGAAACAGGGTTTAAGCCATCGGTGCAACGTTTTGGTTCGCAGCTGTTTGGGCTTTCATATCTTCAATCCGATCAAACGAAGCTGGCGTGTGCAGCGAGGTTTCCGTTTACCCAGATCCTAGGCGAATAGGTGTAGGTTCGGTAGATTCAGTATGATTCAGTGCTTGGGCGGCTACGGTCAATGCATGGACTGTTCGACCAAGAGTTTAGGACAAATTCGGAGGTCCAAATGGAAGAATCCCAGCACAAATACTCGATCGGAAACCTTGCTGCACAACGCACCGTGAAGCTATCTTTTCGGTATGTCATGGACAAAGGAGGCTTGGGCTTGGCAGCCTTGGGATTTCTTTGGGGGACTTGGTCTTCCTTGGGTCCCAGGATTGCTCGAACATGACAGCCAAAGAAGATAAAGAAGACCTCCATCAGTGAATGGTGTCCGCGGCAGGGCACGCTGATCCTCATCAGCACGTTGCTGTCCATTAGTCTCCTGAGGGGCACCTTGGAAAGCAGTTCAGCCAGTGCAACTGTTTGTTGTGTGGTTTAAAGATCTTTAAAGATGTTCTGGATGAAACTGCCCAGAACTTGTTTTTTCTCAAATATTACTTGGAACGCCTTAGTGCCCTCTTTGAGTTGTTCTCAATTCAAAGCGACATAGTGCAGAGTTTGACAGTTACAAAAAGTTGTGTAAATATGTGGGGTAATTTAACAACAAAAAGTAGTGTGAAATGGCGTTAAAGAAACGACACAATGGATTGACAGATACTTGTGAATAAAGTGAAAAGTGGCGCAAGAAAAGCTGATACTTGCGTTGTTATCTAAAAACATCTAAAATCTAGGTAGGAGACATGGCTTTCCGGGGTTGCTTGTTTGAAGTTTCACATTCTTCTATCTACTTGCGGGGAGTTTAAGCTGAGAGGACAGGCATGCCGAAGCAAGGCAGAGAGCAGTCCAACAGAAACGGTCCGGTAACGAGAATCTAAGGATATGAGAGCCCTTTAAGATCATTGAAGGACCATTTGGAACCAGAAATGGATGAAAATTCGAACCGGCATGAGCCAAAGCTGGTGCTTTCCCAAGGACTGGCCTTCAAAGATCTCTGCGGAGCAGGGCGATGCATCTTGGGAGCCGGAACAGGCTCCTTGACGTTGCTACATCTTTCGCCCTGGACTCTGTTGGTTCATAGCGCCCTGCCTTCAACGAGTGTCGATGCCGAATGCCGATGACATCATTACGAGATTATAGTACATTACTGTAATACGCAATACAGTTATGGAGATACTGCGTTGTTCTTGCGGTATTATCCTAAAACAATATGAACACCATTCAACTATATTCAACTCATATAAGTCATCTAGAATCAAGTCGCGAAACGGCAAGCAGAGACTTGATTCTAATGCAAGAATTCTTTGAGGTGCAGTTTGCACAATTGGATGGCTCTTCGGCTGCATGAGACAGGGGTCTCGAGGAGGTAGACAGTATCACCATCAACCCTTGATCAACCTCAAGATCAAGAACAGCAATAGTAGCAGAATGTAGCAGAAGCCACTACAATGCTATACTATATGCTAATATTGTAGTATCTACAACCACCATCACCACTGTCTTTCTTAACACATCTGAACACCATCCACCATCGTCATCCCGCTTCCCGTCTCCTCCCCTTCATCATCATTCCAACCACATCGTCAATATGTATATAAAATGAATTACTTTACTTCGTGTGAGCCCCACCATGACATTTATCGATTGGTTACTGGCAAATCTTCTGGCATTCTATCTGACATATCTTCTGGCATTCGATCTGGCATTCTATCTGGCATATCTTCTGGCATTCTACCTGGCATATCTTCTGGCATATGTTCTGGCATATCTTCTGGCATTCTATCTGGCACTCTATCTGGCATATCTTCTGGCATATCTTCTGACATCCTATCTGGCATTCTATCTGGCAAATCTTCTGGCATTCTATCTGGCAAACATTCTGGCACTTTATCTGGCATACCATCTGGCATTCTATCTGGCATATCTTCTGCCATTCTATCTGGCAAACATTCTGGCACTTTATCTGGCATACCATCTGGCATTCTATCTGGCATATCTTCTGCCATTCTATCTGGCATATCTTCTGGCATTTTATCTGGCATTCGATCTGGCATTCTATCTGGCATATCTTCTGGCATATCTTCTGGCATTCTACGTGGCATTCTATCTGGCATATCTTCTGGCATTCTATCTGGCATATCTTCTGGCATTTTATCTGGCATATCTTCTGGCATTCGATCTGGCATTCTATCTGGCATAACTTCTGGCATATCTTCTGGCATTCTACGTGGCATTCTATCTGGCATATCTTCTGGCATATCTTCTGGCATTCTATCTGGCATATCTTCTGGCATTTTATCTGGCATATCTTCTGGCATTCTATCTGACATGCTATCTGGCGTTCTATGTGGCATATCTTCTGGCATTCTATCTGGCCGTTGAGGTCCAGCGGTGCACACTGAGCTGGGAAGGCCCCAGGTTGAGGTCCAGCGGTGCACACTGAGCTGGGCAGGTCCCGGGTTGAGGTCCAGCAGTGCACACTGAGCTGGGCAGGTCCCAGGTTGAGGTCCAGCGGTGCACACTGAGCTGGGAAGGTCCCCGGTTGAGGTCCAGCAGTGCGCACTGAGCTGGGAAGGTCCCAGGTTGAGGTCCAGCGGTGCACACTGAGCTGGGAAGTTGGCAAAGAGCTTGGCGAAGAGTTGGCAAGGCGGAAGTGGAGGTGGAAATTGATGCAGACATGGTCGAGGAGAAGAGGAGGAGGAGAAGGAGGAGAAGAGCTAGCTGAGGAGGAGAAGAACAACTCTGATAAAATCTAACAACCCTCACCTGGCAGGTGGGGAAAAACTGACCCGTTGGACAAATGGATGCTGGCTTTTGGTTTTGCCGAAGTTCCACTGCCCCAGCTGCCAGCTTGCCATCACACCTGGATGCTATGGTCGACAACTAGCACTCTCAAACCATGACATGTTTGATTTCCAAGGGTCAGCCGGGTCAGCCAGGTCAGCCAGGGTTTGGCACGTCTTGCTTCAACGTTTGAAATTTCCGTCCTTGGCCTTGCCGTCCAGGCTGTTTGAAGTGGGTCCTTGGATGCTGGATTTCAATGGATCCAAGGCCGCTGTCTCCAGCATCTCGGCATATCTCGGCTCGGCTGAGCGCACTGATAGTTTCTGGCTATTGCTCTCAGAGCACAGAAAATGTACCAAGAGTTATACTGTTATACTCCACGTTCATGGAACATTGCATCAATTTTTCCAGGATGTCTAATGACTGAAGCCTTGCTTCCACCTGTGAATTTGATGAAATGCGTAGGCGTAGGTCCACAGCAAGTTACCGCTGGTTGCCAATATGAAGTTTTTTTTTTCCCAGTATATATATATATATTATATAGATTGCACAAGTATTGCCAGGGACATGACAATCAAACAAGTGCACCGCACTGCAACGGCCGAAGGCCGCGGAAACTTCCCGGAACGGACCATTCTGCGGAAGTTTGCGGAAACTTATTATAAATCAGGGCACGCACCAAAGCATCATGAAAAACGCAATAGCACTGCTGCCGCAGAAACAAAACTCACAAAACCTTTGCCCTGGAAGATCTCAGAAGCAAATTTTTAGGAAACATCCCGCCACGGAAGCTGGCACTGCAGTAGCGGAAACTGACAGAAGCCTTCGCAGAAGGGATGAATAGTGACCATTGAATTTGCCCACAATAAAACAACAACTCACGTTGACAGTGACAAGGCCATACGCTGCTGATCATAGCACTTCTGGCTCCTCTTTGCTGGATGTTAGGCGGGCACTCAATGCAGTAAGGTTGCTTGAACATTCACTCCTGCAGACATGCAGCCACTATGTTTGGTCCATGTTTTGTTTACTTTCTTCCTTACTACCAGTACTTCAACCTCAGGCATTTCGTTTTTTTTTTGGTTTACGTGAGGGTGATGGTGCCAACGCCATTTTCAGTTTGCATTCAGGTGCGTTCGCCCTCTTTTTAGAGAGCAGAATGCTGTGGGAGTGCACTTGTTCATTGTTTCTTCCAAACTCTAATCACTCGTTAAAGCTTAAGCTACAAATTAAGAAGTGTGCAAGTGTTCACCCTACCTTAGATAAATGCTACCGTGTCCCTTTGTTCCTTTAACAACACATAATTTCTGCAGAATATGCTAGATGTCTTCAACACAATTACAAAATACCCATACCTACTAACAAATACAGCAAATACTTAAAACAGAAATGCAGCATACCCTTCTTAATAAGTGTAACTTTCCTTTGGAGCAATGCATTGTGTTTTTGCAGGAACAATAGCCCTACAAAATCTGAAGTATTCATTCAAAAGATACACCATGTCCAAATGTCGAACCCTTCCTTTCGAAGGAGCCATGTTCCTTGTAGACAAGCCAATGTTTCTGCACAATATGCAGTATTATTGACATAGAGCATCCCTCTCAAAAGTGCAAAATGTTTGAAACTGTGAGCACTATTAAAGACTGCTCTTTCGCTTCTTACAACAGAATATTGTCCTGTATGGCCTGTATGGCAACACAATCTTCCTATGAAGAGGCAGCATTCTTGGAAAACTGGACACCTTTTGTTCGACATGTGTACTATTCCCCTTGATCAACCCAGCCTTCATTTGCTTTGGTTTAAAGAGACAGCTCTCGCTTAAAGTTTTTTCAATACAATCCAACAATAATGACAATAATGTATTCTTTCATCGACTATCTCACTAATATCAAGAGGATGCTGCACAAAATGAAACACCAGATTCTTCAAGGATTATTATATATACTCTTTCAAAAGAGTGCTGCATGCATGCAATATACTATATATATATATACATACAGTACATGTTCAAACAATGTTTCATTGCCTTGGGATTTAAAGATGCACATTCTTCAAATTGCAGTACTTTTCAAGAGGAGAGCTGCCTACATCAAAGGATGTTATTCTAAAAATATGTTCGTTGTCTTGGAAGAATATCACGTCAAGTATTCAGAGAAACGATGTACAATTTTGAAAAACATATTTTACATGCTTACATATACCATGTGTTATTCATAAAAATAACAAATACAACAACTACTGTGAAAAGGGCATTGCATGCGCAAGGGGGTTCATTTTTGCCATAGAAGTAGACATGTCACCATGTCCTACTTCAATGGAATGATCTACCATTTGGAAAGAACCGCACATGTTGAAGGGACCACTTACTTCAAAGAGATGCATCACTCCTTTCAAGGGAATCATTTATATATATATATAATATATAAAGTGTGTGTTGACTTGCGGGCTTGACTCAACAATGTCAATATCAAAATCAGGGCTACAAATCGATTGGTTGCCATTGGTTGCCTATGTTTTTGCATAGTTTTTGGGCACGGTTTCAAAAACAAATCACAAGACAAAATTGCCTAATCCATGTCCCAAACCCCAGACTTCCGACAATCATACCGCAGTTTTACATGGTTTTTATACTGGAACCACAGACCCAAAGCAAACATTAACACAACCAAAAACAAGTTTGCAACCCCTAAGGTGGGAAAGGTGGCAACGAGTTAGGTCCTGCCACTTTTGTGTTGCTTTGCCAGCTTTAAAAAAAACCAAACTCCAGCTTGGGGTGTGCATTTTTTGTTTTTGTGTTTTGCTTTTTTGGTTTGTTGTTGTGTTTTCTTTTTTTGGGGGGGTGTATCCTAAAAAATGGAAAGACACTGTAAATGTGAGATTGCAAAGAGCAAACAAACCCATTGCAGGTGCATAAATCACCTAAAAACACGCACTCCCAGGGTGTCCCCTTCTGTTGTTTTAATGATGAAGGAGACAAAATGATGTCGGCTTGTGAGCTAATTGACTTTGCCGGAGACAACAATCACATCCACATTTCCTGACTGTCTTATTTTTGGCGGACATTTTTTAAAACATGTCTCATCATATCTCATCCTCTCCCTTTGACTGGAAGGTCTGTGGATCAACATGAAGTTGTATATTCAGATGTGCATCAAGGATGAGTTGCTTCCACTCAGATCGTAGCTTGCCGGCAACTACGGTTTGGTTCAAGGGACACACACACACAGACACAAGAGATAAAATGCGGAGGAAAGAGCATCTGTTCTTGTTTGTGTTAGCATCATCCAAGAAACCATGGCCATACTGGTTGATTTGGCAAGACAACGATGGAATCATTGCCGTATATTTCATTTTATACTTATGGACCCCCCTTTTGAGGCGAATGCAGCCCGGGTCAGAGGCACATCCGAGAAGTAGCAGCATGGTGTTTCCATCAGATCTGCGCTTCAAGTCTGAGCGAGAAACTCAAGCTGCTACCGTAACCGCCGAGCCTTCTTGGGCACATCTCATCACAGAAGGAGCTGGAGTAGGACATTTTTTTACTGTACGCGACATTCAGCATATATTGCATATACATTGATACATAGAGCCCAACATTTGTCATTAAGTTTTTGGCCAGACTGACCATGCATTTTGTCGCATCGGCAGACGCCTTTCTCCACCCTCTTCAGCTGGGAGGTGGTCGACGCATCCAAGTGATGTGAGCAGCTCAGAGCATGCTTCCAACATCTTTCAACGATTTCCACCGAACAATCTTGAAGGACATGTTGCTGGACAGATTACTTCCCAAACTGTTCGGTAGCAGTGGGTGTCCCTTGACAGTACCCCCCCTGAGCTCAGGACCCAAGAGACCATGCAATGTTAGTGGCAGGAGCCCTAATTCGTCTGAAGCTTAGACCATCAGGACGACCTTGATTCAAACGGATTCAAACGCCTCGATTTGTTCGTTGCTTCTTCCAAGCTGTTTGTTTGATCTGTTTTTGGCTCTCATTTGGTACCGTGATGTACCACGTCAGCATGCAAAAAGGATATTCAAGAAATTTAAAGAATCAGAAAGGACCGGCTCTCAAAACAGCAGATCCATCACAATCCAAGCAGGCTGCGGTTTGTGAGCAAATAGCTCGGGCACCGTCAATAAACTGGCATGGGATTCAGCAGAATCTGCCAATCAGTTGCCATGTTGTGACATGCCAGCACGGTCAGAGTCAGACTACTGCCCGAATAGAGAACGTGCATAGTACTGGTAAGTACACAGCATGTTTTTTTTTCCGCAAATATAAAACCTGTTCATTTACAGCTCGGTGTCAGTCAAACTGACTTATCCTAGTTATCAAGCTGAATTGCATGACCTTTTCCACTCAGCTTAGTGTGCATTTAGGCACACTGCCACTACTGCTGCACAGATGCACAGATTCATTCAAGATACGTGCGCAGATATATGTTACACTTGTGGTGTGTTTAGGCTGCAGGGATTGAGCTTGAAGGATCAACATGTGCTTGATGTTTTTTCTAGTCATTGATGTCAACATTGTTTTCATTGAGGTGATGATACTTTTTGTCAAAGTGGTCAAAGATACGAACGTTCATGAAATCCAGTGAGCAGAACCTATCCATATATATATATATTATATACATATGTATGCAGTAGTCTTTCAGTGCTCTGACCGTTGACAACTTTTTTGCTTGGCACCAAGTTGATGTTTGCTCACAGTGCATAAACGGTCCTGGCTAGAAGGCCAAGAGATGAGCAAACGACCACAGCTTGTGCGTGGCCATGAGTATTTGGCAAGCTGGAAATGGAATTGGAGAATTAGTTTCACCATAATAATTCTGCAAGGTGTGTCTCACATAATTACAGGGAATTCGTCCCTGCCATAAGCCGTGCCCGCGCTCTAGACCTGAGGAAACCCTTAGAACCTGTCCTCAACGGTCATGGGATGAAAACCAATGTTGGCGGAAGTGCTCGACGCGGGCTCGACGCGGATGGAGGGGAAGGAACATAAATGGATAAATGATGATAAATGGAATCTCGCTTGGTGAATTGAGTTGCGTATGTATTGGCACTGTGTTTGTTGGAGATCTGAAGGCTAGAGCGATGGTGGCTGGCAATTCACAATCCTTGCAGAATCCCACCGCAGAAGCTTTGCACGGCTTCAGTTGCACGTGAACATGCGTTTGAAGCCACTAGCGAAGAGGTCTGCAGAGATCGAAAATCGGGTAGCAGGCAGATGTGCATTGGCAGAATCATTCCATTGTTTTTTCAAAGACACAGGACATCAGGACCTTTGCGGCAAAGAAGGATGGTTGGAGAGGTGACAGTATTCCACACTTGGTTTTCCACACGCACAGAGAGACACTGCACAGATCATCCGCGCATGACTCAGCATGCCGTACAGCAAGCCAGATCCTGTCACTATTGCCCTTGGAAAGTTTTGAACTCTCGCGGATAGTTCTCTCCTGGGCCCGCTAGCTTTGTGGCTCACACGCCTTTCTTTGTATTCTACTATCTTAAAAGCGCTTCTTGTGTGATGGTGCGGCCCCTGGTTCAGTTTCCTGTACACTGGCCAGCTTTTGTGGGACATGCTCCAGTGGAGTTGGGATCCAGAAACTTCTAGACTAAAAAGATGATCTGTTGCAAGGCTGATTTTTGGCTGATGCTGCTTAGGTCATTTTAGCTCCTTTGGCCATACTATCCTGGTCCCATCATCTTCATTCATTTTCCGCACTGCTTGGGCAAAATTGAACGGGATATATAATCATTCCTCACAGCAGACCATAAATGTGTCGATATGACATAATGTGGCAGCAGCCGACCTAGGGGGTCACACGCCTCCTGGCCATCTTGGTTGCTTGGCATGCAAAGCCGGTCGTTTGATGGAAATACATTGGACATGTCAGATTCAATATCTGCAATATATGCAAATATATGCAAAGATAATCAAATATGGACCTTATGTTATGATATTTTTTGATATTTCATCATATTTCTCATGATTTCTGGTATTTTCATAGCGACAAACTCATGTTCTCCACAGCCGGAGAAGATGACATCTCAGGCCATCACATCTCAGGCGCTCCGCTGCTACCAACATTCCATGTATTGAACATCGGTGAGCCAAAGATGGATAGGAGCGCTCAGTCAGTCCACAGAATGATACACAGTGATACTACAGTACGTATATATATATAATGTAATTATACGTATATAATGTATATTATATGATATGTATATAATGTATATCAAATTACATGTATGTAATTATTATATATATAATTAGAATTATATATATACATACACACACGCACACTGTACATCGTTACTATTGTATTACTTTGTAGGTTTTGTTTTAATAAAACATTTGTAGTATAATTCAATTGAATATCATGAAATATATTGTATGTTTTCGATTTAGATAGCCAGGCTTAGGATACCTCGAGGGCCACTCCATGGACACGTCACAATGGTAGGTCTCGAGTGAAGACTTGTTGGACGATTGCCAGGAAGAGCAGCCACTTGGCTGTTGGCATTACCCGTTAGCCCGCTTGGAGCTGGTTTGATAGGCAGTGTAGCCGGTGTGTTCCGCGGTTGATTCATTTGCTGGTATATGTTGGTATCAGCAAGTCTCAGCAAGCATCAGCAATGTTCCAATGGGTTCATATAGTGATGCGCCTCATCATGGTTGTGCAAAAAGGCAGTAAGATGTTTTTCCCCGATATGATTTTGGAAATGTTACTCGTCGAGGGGTTTAGCTGGTTCCGCGCTTATCGAAACAACCACATTATAACCTTGGCAACATAAGCACATATCAACATTGTACAGTGCCCCGCCCCGCCCACCCACGCCCTCAGGTGTGCTCTGAATGCATTGCAGATGAAAAGCCGAAAGGCGAGTCCAACAGAGGGAATGCAGCACAGTGAATCGTACAAAATCCAAGACTATCTACATATTATGTTCAATCTAACATGCATATATCATATCCAAGCATCCCCTTGATATTTGATGGACTTGAGAGCTTGGAGAGGTGTCGATGGAGCTTTGGCAGCATGACGCCGACACAGAGGCTTTCAAGGTACTGGACTCTATGGGGGATGCTTGAACTAACTTCACGAGGGAAGTTGGCTTTTTCATTTGATCTCATACACTTTTTAATAATGTTTATTTATGTACTTTTCATCTACTTCGTGCTTGTTCTGCAAATCATCAGACCATGACAGCTGCTCCACTGACCATTGGAACTTGAAGCTTTGGTTCAAAGAATGGCATCCCTCATCCCCGCCAAAGGCCTCAGGCCCCCCAGTGCTTGGCCGTCACCAGCCACGGCGAGGGGCTGCCGGCTTGACAGCGGCGTTCCACAGCCCCATGGCCAAGTTTCCAAATGGCCTTGGAGCCAGGAGCCTAGGGTGGCATGTGTAGAAGACATGATATAGGATTATAGAATTCAATTATAATTACATAATATTGTCGACGGAAGTTTAGAAGTCAAACTTCCGACTTATGGACAGATGCAGCAACAGTTGTGAGAACAGTCCGAGAAGAGAAAGAGTCAGAGAAGATAGAGTCGAGAGTCAGTAATTAGAATTAGAAAGAAGATCCAAGTGCGCGAAAAGGTAGAAAAGTCGCAAAACACAGAGTTTTTCCAATGTTTGTTTCTCCGGAGGGTCGAAAAGTAGGCTCGCTAAAGCGGTGGGCAGAGATATCTAGCAGGTCTGGTCGGATGAGAGATCAAAAATTGCACACCGCTGTGGTGCGAAGCACATTTCGAAGAATGCGGAGCACTTTTGGAAGTTGAGCTGCCCAAAAAATGCACGCGGCTGTGTTGCGAAGCACATTTGGAAGCCAACATGTTCACACCTCTGCTCCGTAGCACTTTTGGACGTTGAGCTGTTCAAAGAGCACATTTCGAAGTCACAATTTTAAATGCACACTACATTTGGACCACTTTTGGGTGTTTAACCGTCATTGCTTGTGGCAGGCGCAGTGGTTTCTGCACTTGCCAAAAGTGCGCAAACGTGAGCATTTTTGTAGCATTTTCAAAAACGATGGCAGGCGTGGGACGTTTGAACAGGATCTGCAAAGATGCATTTCGCGCGGCAGGCGCAGTACAAGAGACATGTTCGGAGGTCAGGGGGCTGATTTCCTGAGAGGGGTTGCAACTTGGAGCATCAGATGTGCAGGTTTGCGAAGATGTTTTTGCGTGATGACTTGGCTTCACTTTTTACTGGCAGGCGCAATACTTTAGAGAGATGGGGTGGAAAAATCGCAAAACGCATTGGTACGAGGCCGTCAGCTCTGCGCTCAACTTATAATTTTCCAAGGAAGTCTTGAAGTCTTGCAGACTTGCTTCGTTTTGATGTTGTCAACTTCAGATTTTGGAGGAAGTCTCGCAGAATTTCATCGTTTTGGAGCTGTGGTCTTGCATTTTTCGAAGAAGTCTCGCAGAATTGCTTCGTCTTGGACCTGTGAAGGAAGTTTCGCATAATTGCTTCCTTCCAGACAGATAGAAAGATAGACCCCTAGATAGATAGATAGATAGATAGATAGATAGACAGACAAACAGACAGACAGACAGATAGATAGATAGATTTTTTGTTAATTAGTTAGTTAGTTAGTTAGTTAGTCAGTTAGTCAGTTAGTCAGTTAGTCAGTTAGTCAGTTAGTCAGTTAGTCAGTTAGTTAGTTAGTTAGTTAGTTAGTTAGTTAGTTAGTTTAGTTAGTTTAGTTTAGTTAGTTAGTTAGTTAGTTAGTTAGCTAGTTAGCTAGTTAGCTAGTTAGCTAGTTAGCTAGTTAGCTAGTTAGTTAGTTAGTTAGTTAGTTAGTTAGTTAAGTTAGTTAAGTTAGTTAAGTTAGTTAAGTTAGTTAAGTTAGTTAGTTAGTTAGTTAGTTAGTTAGCTAGCTAGTTAGTTAGTTAGTTGGATAGATAGATAGGATAGGATAGGATAGGATAGGATAGATAAGATAAGATTGATGAGATAGATAAGATAAGTTTCCTGGCTTTGAAACTTCCGCCACAAGGCGCGGTACGACTGGTATAAAGTCGGTATAAAGGTAAGATGTGGCAAGGTGTTGAGATAGCATTCGAATGCAGCGATCTGCACTGACTGTTTTAACATGTTTTAACATGGTGGCCCTGCAGGAGCCAAAGAGTGCACCAAGGGAAACCATGAGATCCAAGACGACTTCACCTGGCAGCTGGACTTTCCAACACGGCTGCCATGGCTTTCAGGCGATGGCTGCCATGGGTTGCATGCTCTTTGCGGCTCGGCCAGCAAGGATGCAGGCCAGACTTCGCAGCCGCAGCAGGCGAACTTTGAGCCGTTCCACTGAAGATCTTGACAAAGGGCAGGAAGATGAACGTTTCCAACGAACTCGTTTAGTGACCTTCACTGGAATGGTTTTGGGGTATGCCGTCTACTATTTTACTCGACTCTCCTTTACATATGTTGGCCTTGCCATGCGGAGCGATTTAGGCCTGAGCATGGTGCAGTTGGGCACAATCAGTTCTCTGTTCCCCCTGGCATACATGAACTCCAAGTTTCTCTCTGGCGTCTTGTCAGACCTGTTGGGCTCTCCAGTCTTGATCTTTTCCCTGGGACTCATGTGCACTGGAGTTCTAAACATTGCCTTTTCAACAGCGAACACAGTGCCCATCTTCACGTTGATTTGGCTTTTGAATGGTCTTTTCCAGGGCTGTGGTGCCATTCCCTGCAACAAGATGCTGGTGAATTGGTTCCCAGCGCGAAGTCGTGGAAAGTGGTGGAGTAGTTGGAATGCATCCCACAACATGGGTGGATTTTTGATCCCCTTGCTGGCTGGCGGCTTGGCTGCCCGATACAGCTGGCGTGCTGGGATGCTAGGCCCCGGAGTCATTGCCTTGGTGGCGGGTTCTTTGGCGCTGATCTTCATGAAGGATTCACCAGAGAAGGTGGGTTTGCCCTCCGCAGAGGAATGGGCTACCTCAAGATTTGCTTCCGCTGCCGGTAATGCGGAGGAGACCAAAGAAACAGAGACAGAAGAGGAAGATGGTGAAACGATTTGGAAGCAGTTGGTCCGCAACAAATTCCTGTGGGCGATAGCGGCCATGCATTTCTTTATCTACTTCATCCGCCAAGGGGTGCTGAACTGGGCACACTTCTACATCATGGATGAATTTGGTGTCCCAGCAATGGAGGCTACTGCCAGGGTTAGCGGATTTGAGCTGGGAGGCCTCCTGGGCTGTATCGTCGCAGGTCAGGTGTCAGATTGGCTCATCAGTCGCTACCCGCAGCGTGGGGCCGCAGGCCTGAGAGCACAGGTCATGGTGGCATACTCCTTGGCTGCAGCGGCGGCCGTCTTCTCTTTGTGGGTAGGGCCACCTGTTGCCCTTCTTCAATGGGCGTCCATGGCCGCTTTTGGATTTTCCATCTATGGCCCTCAGACGCTCATCACAATGACAGGTGTGGAGACAGTCCCTCGTAGGGCAGCTGCGACAGCAGGAGGTTTGTTGGCATATCCAGCCCAACTGGGGTCCATTTGCGCGGGCTTGCCATTCGCGCTCTTGGTGCAGAACTATGGATGGGGTGGATTCTTCCCGACCCTCATTGGTTTGAGCTTGATCTCTGCGACCGTCATCACACCTACATTGAACACACCCTCGTACTGGCAGGCTCGTCATGGTTGGAAGAAAGAAAAGGCAAAAGCAGCCGAGAGCGGTGCCTAACCGTCGAATGACGGCTATGAATTTGGTCCGAAATGGAATCCGAGTCAATACAGAGCCTCAGCGGTTTGCCGAGGACCAATTTAAGAAACTGAAGGCATCAAGAGGACGTCTTCAGATGCACGAGATTGTGAGATTTCATGAGACATGACAAGGCACTGCTTTTGGTAGTAGCCTTGAAGGTGTCCCAGATTGCAAGGTGGTGAAAAAGATGATGTGCACTGTAAAAGAGATCCAATAGATACTGTATATTGAAGTATATTGAAGTCTTAAACAAGACCCTAGACTCTAAACGGAGAAACCTCTGAAACCTGATATTCCACCTTGAAATTCCTTCGGATTTCTTGTTTCCTTTCTCCCCCTTTAGATTCAGCTTTCACCAATAGTTTCCCAACCAACCATAGGAACATGGGACAAATGTTATGCAGGTTCCCGACATCAAAGCCACGGCAGCCACGGGACGCTTCCTTGAGACCGACGTGTCCTCGGAAGTGTCCATCCCGTGCCTTGTTGGCAACAAACGGGCGGTGTCAAGGATGAACATGGGGATGCGAGAAACGCGACTTAAAAACATGTTCAGAAAACATTAGCAACAGATATTATATGATATTATTATATAATATAATATATCGTGTAATCATATGTAATCATATATATATACACCATACAGTATGGCAAAACTATCAAGAATTGGATTGGATGATTCAATATGAATATATATATATATATTTATATGGTTTCGAAATACTGAAATATCATGAAATATCTGCAACACTACATGTAGGGGACTCTAAGGGTGCGTGGATATCAAGCTGTGACAAGCATCCATCTCCACACAGAGACCAATGTTGTAGCTGGGGGTTGTTCACAATGACGTGCCGAACGAATTGATGAGCTCAGTTGGGTGGTGCCCACCCTGTTGAATCTGAGAAGTTGATAGAAATTACACATTCGCCAGCGGCCGTTGCCCATGACCAAGCTGTTTGGTCTGAGGCGGTTCTACCCCCTCAACCATGGTTGGCACAAGGTTGTGACTTTGGCGAATTGGTGTCAAACTGTCAAAGATTCAATATGTTCGACGGGTACATATGGTACATTTCTTGGCAACAGCAACTCCTCGTCGATCATTCCTGAGTATTCTGAGGCTGTTGATGGAGGGGACACCGTTGGCTTTAGCAGGAGCTCATTGAGATACTGTGAGTATTTTTGTGCCACCACTAAAGGCTGCCACAGTCTGGTGCTCAGCAATGGCGCTTTTTTAAGCTTGACTCAACAAAAACAGATTGCATCAGATTGCTTTTGGAATGCGCAAGCAGTTGCTATTGAAATTTCTTGGGCCTGGCACATAGATGTAAACAGATTGGACCCTATTGCGGTCAAGCATCCACTGCAGATGAATCACCACTGCCGTGGTGGCCAAAGGTGACAATTGCCATGTTGAGGGTTCCAGTATGTTCCAGTACATGATGTGGGCATGGCAAAGTTCAAATCCAAAGAAGATGGGTGCAGCATGGTGCAGCCATCCTTCTGTCAACTTAGGTATCATTTCTTGCCCTAAGACGCGCGCCTGCCATCTGAAATCTGCAGCCCTGACTGGTTCGGAGCCTTTCAAGTGACTTGCTTCAGCAAACAATTCTGCACAGCCCTTGCATCTAAAACAACGGCTTCGATGCAACACGTTTGGCAAAGGAACCATTAGCCTTGCACAAAGCACAACTCGATTCATCTACAATCTACATGCAGTCAGGGTTTCGCTGCTAAATAATCATTCAAGAGAAGAAGATAAGGCAATAATAGCCGCAACTTTCATTCTCTTTCTGCATGAGTTTTCTTTCATCAAGAGTGTCTGAAGACTTCATGCATCTTCATCAACCCCGAGATTTTGTGACCTTCGTGAAAAATCACCGATATCACCAGCACGAGGCATGACCCCTACTGCCAGACTTGGTACATGAACATGGGATCTGTGACGGTTGGCACCTGGAGTGTCTTTGGTGGTCACAGCGTTGGTGTGGATGTGGGTATGTGGGTATGAATCAAAACCTTTTATATGTATATATAATCATATATATAATAATATGTATATATATATATGTCTGATATAGTTATACAGTTATACCATATTGCCAATTTGGGGGGATGAACATCCATTTACCAGCTCTTTTGATGTTCGGTAGTACGGGGTGTTGACACATCCCCATATGTGCCATTGTCAAAAGATATTACGGGAAGTTCATCAATCCATGAACAGGGATGTATAGAAACTTACGATGCCCATTGTAAATATTGTAAGGATTCCCATTGTGGAATGGATGACTATATACACCATCTTTTGACCATGCCCCAATGACGGCAAATACCTGGATCCTGCATCTTTCCGAAAGCTACGAATCAATTGGAATCATTGATTTGTGCAACCCTGATGTGCCTGGAAAGGGGGCGATGCAAACACGACATTTTGAGCACAAGCAGCGCCGCACCCAAAAGGCTGTGTTCAAGAACTGCTACAGCAACAGAGTTCCACGATTGAGGCATCCTAACACCTATTTTATAGACCATAATAGACCGATTTGATTCAAAGGTGCCTCAAGGGTGATACAAATTGTTGCCTTTACAGTCGCTGCCCCAAGGTGGCAAGAAGGTGGAGTACCAGCAATGCGAGAAGGGCACAGTCCCTCAGGCTGCCGGCAGAGAATTCTCAGATTGATGGGAGAAAAAAAGAGAACAGCATATTGCTTAAGCATGCTTAAGCATATTGCTTGATTGTGCTTGATCATGCTTGATCGACTTATGACTTATTTGAAGACACCTTTCAAGCATTGCAGTCGCAAGACGAATTCTTAGTCGTGGCAAATTTTCACAGCAGGTATCGAGCAAGAGCTTGGAGATATTAAGAATTTGGATTGCATTCCATTGCAGTGGTAGAGGATTGCAAAAAGGAGGAACCAATCACTCAGGCTACTCCATGTTCTCCATCCGCTATGTTCCTTTAGCTGAGACATTCCTCACGATGCTTCACATCACATGGCAGGGTGGCAAATGCGTGAAAGCAGACGGACCTGCGACGATGACTTTCTATCAATACAGTGCACAGAAGAAGGAGATATCTGCTCTGCTGGAAGCTGTTCATTCATGTCCTCGTTCACAAAATATTTCTATGTCTATGAATTTCAATGTGTAGAGCGCAGGTGAAAATGGAAATTCATGTGCACATTCGCTATTTCTGCACTATTTGGATCTATTTGGTATTATTTGGTGTAGTTCTGCAAGAGCACAGCCACTGCATATTCTCGGCTGTCAGTATGACCCTGACCGCATTTGGGAGAACGTGGATATGGCCAGCCTTGGTGGAGTACTGTCCCTTGGAGTGTTGGGATCTGTTGATATCTGTTGGGTAGAACACGCCATTATTTTCAAACCATGTTTTGCTTACATTGAAGGCAATTGAAGGTTCTATTCTGTGGAGATTCTGCAAGGAGGCCTTTACAGACTGCAAAGATCTGCAAAGACATGTGTCGCTCTTCCCATTTGAGCTGAAGCTGAAAATTCTCCAGCGGTTGCAGAGTTGAATGATATCCAAGAGCCCAAAAGAGAATGGGCTTCAGAATGTGGGCTTTGATCCTGTTGACGCTGCAGGTTTTACCTTCACAATGAGGTGGTCGATAGCAAGGGCGAGCAGCTGAACAAGGATGGAACGCAGCTCGCCTGGAGTCAAAATGGCTGTTTGGCAGACTTTATCAGACTTTCATAGACTTTCCACATCTTTCCACCATGGACTCGTCATGGATTTGTCGATATTTGTAGCAATTCATGTACATGATCTGGCATCTGGATGCATCGATCGCATGATCCTTAAGGAAATCCACCAAGTTCGACATCGATCGCATCGTGCGCTTCAAAGTCACAGTGCATCGTGGCCATGACAGTCACATCGAGTTTGAAGTTTGAAACACTGAATTCAAAAAGGACACACATGCGACAAATGAATGCACATGATGCAAATCACATCAAATCACATTGTACCAATAAACATCAATAAACAAAATATTCGCGGATCAATCTGGCATATCAAGATTGTCAAGGCACTGCTCCAGGTGACAAACGGAGTGATGGACTGAAGCAGCAAGGGCATGAACAACAGAAGAATTTCACGGTGCTACTTTGGAGACTAGGAGAGACGTGAGAGGATGAATATGCCACATCTGTCAGCATTCGATTGTCGGTCCACGGTCTTCCCAGGCACAACACACAAGCCCTTTGGAAACAGTTCCGCTCACAGCCGCCTGGATTGAATGGGTCTTCAGATGCAATGAGTTTCCAGTTTCTGGACAAATCTACTGGACAGTGATCTTGCGAGATGCCCCCAGGTTTGGGCAATTCATTCAATTTGACTATGGGCAAGCCACCTTTGGCATGCCTGACCATGTCAAGACACTTGCTGGCAGATTGGTTCTGTATGTCATGCTGAGGGATCTTTGATCCAGTATATTCATTTATGAATTTATATACTGCATCTATAGATATCTATAGTAAGTCTGAGCTGTGATGTTCTACCGACAACATTGTGCCTACGATGTCAACAGTGCTCAAAAGCTGTTCAGGTTGTCCTGTTGACCTGCAGGAAGTGCAACGACATTTGGAGCAAGTTCGGCTTTGAAGTCGGCTGTCAAATTGTCCCCGACGGAATTTCGGGCTATGAAGGTGGCTTCTGGAGCTCATTTCCTGGACGCTGCCCATCCATGCCCTTCTCAGAAACTCAGTCAAATCATGTCAAATCACTCAGCTTACAGCACTTTATCTGATTTTATCTGATTTTATCTGATTACCTGATTTTATCTGATTTTATCATGTCAAATCCCTCAGATGTTACCTGATTTTATCTGATTTTCTCCTGTGGGCATGTTGCATCATGTTGCTGCCACCAAGGATGACGCCCCTCAGGTGATTCACCAGGGTGAACACAAGAAGACCATCAGCTGCATGAGAGACTGGGCTGGAGGCGTCGATACGTCCAGCATCGTCCAGCCATGTGAAGTACAGATGTTCTGTACAAAATGAAGCAGATGAATATATGAATTTATATGAAACCTGATCAAATTTTATCAAACTATTTATGATAGTACACTATATTAATTAATTAATGACCATATAGTTCATATATACTATACATGTCATTGATATTCATTGATGATAGATGTGCTAACTCAAAACAGTCAGACTTTAAACGTCACTGAAGCTGGAAGTTTCCGCCAGGTTCGTGCCCGGAGCCTGATGGAACCCCTGACTGCACCTGGCATATCGAGCCTGCTGGATATGTCTGCTGGATATCGAGCGTGGGAAGGTCCCAAATGTCTCAAGTGTCTTAAGAAAGGGATGGAAGCTACATATTGCAAAGATCTGCAAAAGCTTTTGGGCGTAAGATTTTTTTTGGGGATAAACCATGACAAACCCAAGGCCTGGGGAATTGGATTTACACCAATGATCAATGCCTTTGGCCTTTGGTAGACTGATCAAATCAAAAGTACGTGATACAAAGCATGTGCATTTTTTGACCATGCAAAAAGACGACTCACTTCCTGCTTTATAGATTCAGATCTATTGCACCTGCACTGAACCTGGGTGCTCATCCTGATCTTCACTGAACAGAGGTGGTGGTTGCATAACTCTGAATCGCTCCCGGATGGTCGGCAAAAAACAAGAGTCATCGTTGGAAAAACCGGCAAGTTGGGTTGCATTAGATTCATTGGAAACCCTCAAAATTGCGCCGCCCAAGAGAATCGAATGCTGATCAGCTTCAAATTGGAATGGAAACACCCGCACAAGCTGAAGGTCATGCTGAACGAGCTGATGGGCGAAGATGCCAGTGAGATTTTGAACTCTGGAGGAGCGGCTTTTGGGACAATTGTTTGGCCCAATCTACTTCAGACTCGTGGCGTTTTGTTGGTGGATGGTGTTGTCACACTCATTAAAACCTATTACAATCATGGGCAGAGGATAGATGATGGTATAGTAGGTGTTTTTTTTTTTTTCCAGGACACCTCTACGATGAAGTTCTAGATGGTGGACTGGGCACCAGCAAGAACTTCTGGAAAGGGAAAAAGAGCACGAAGGTTCTTTGGCATAGAAATCTGCATTACATCAGCAGGCTTCTGACATTCACTCCTAAATCAGGCTATTTTTGATGCATGGAATTACACGTGTTCACATACGTATTGTGAATGAATGGTTCGGGAAGCAACACACATACACAACTGGCCAGGGAGCCGAAATTGAATAGAAGTGAAAGCAGCTCCTGCTCCCGGCATAGTTTCACGATGTTTCACGATGTTTCATGTCACACTGTCAGAATGCCCAAGCTCCAGGCATGCAAACAAAGAATGGACAAACTGTTGCAGCTCTTCGCAAAGAAGTTCCCTGGTGTCTTGGCGTCATCAGGAAATGGGATCGATGAGCAACCCTGTCAATCAACGGGAACACTAAGACACCCTCAAACGGCGTATCAAAAAACCTTTCCCAAGTGCCGCTGGATGTGATCCAGTGGCTTTTCCATACGCCAAAGACGTCTTGGAAAACATTCACCAAACTTGGACCTTTGTGTTGGTGTCGAGTGGCTTATGTCCGTTGCTTTTTGTTTACCTGGACCAATGTTTGAATTGTTCGAACGCCATGTTCACTGCGTTTGGCTCAGATTTTGATGCATCACTACCAGATCCTACCTGCGATTTTTGGCGCTGATGAGCTGCATGAATGGAGAAATTTGAGCAGACAGAAGATCTGCACGATGTGTCCAAAAATACCAAAAATGGTATATTCCCCAACTAATAAGGCAATTCCCCTTTGAAACTAGACGATCAAATCTTGGATCCTAATTTTTTGGACATTCCTAGTGTTGAAGGATGGTCGGTCACAGACCTCCAAGTCAATCTGTGTTTTGAGATATTTTGAGGTTTGCCCCAAAATGGGGCAAGTGGACAGGAGATCTCGAAGTTTCTTCTCCATGTACACTTGGGCACCACAAACAGGCTGTGAGTGCATTGTGAAGGAGCCAACTGTTGACAAACGGCAATGTGAAACTCCAAGACACTCATTTACTGCTTTGTGATCTTTATTTGTAGGCAACAGCCTTGACACTTTGTGATACTCTGTGCATAAGCTGACCTGGCCGATGCATCATCTCCATTAGATCTGCTTCTCCGTAAACGGAAAAGTTCAGAGGGCTGAGCGAACTTTATGTCCAGGCTTTGTTTTCGGTATACCCCACGGTAGATAGTAGGCAAAATGATGGATTTGGGGTTGTCATAGTTTTGGCAAAAGCGCATGTCTACAGGGATTCTGTTTGACAAGCAGAACAAACTTTGCAAATGAACGGCTGGAAGAAACTGTTCAAAAAATTGCCATTGACCCATTCCGGGGTTTTCATGTTCTAGCCAATTAAATTCTGGACGACTACAAAAAGACAGCGGCTTCAAGTGGGCATGTAGTTAGATCCCAAGGCACATGAATCTTGAAGTATGCCCAAATATAGCATCATCTTTGTCATGTGGATGGATCATGATGGACTTTCGGCAGCCGTCAGCACAATCAGTGGACGCCAGCAGAGACGACATTTATTGTCTACAGACTTCCTTCTATCCAATCTGCCCACTTACCTTGCTCATTGGCAGATCCGAGGCAGCATTTTTCTGAGAAGAGGTACTGCAACTGCATGAATCCGATAATGCCAACAAGTCTCTTATTGTCAAAGTCTCGGTTGTTTTTCGTATCTATCCGCAAACTACGACTCACAACAAGACTGTAGAGACAGAAGTTTTACTCGTCAGCAACAAAACCGGGTAGCACAGCCAAAGTTGCTGTCCGCCGGTGCAGCACTTAGCTCCTTGATATTGCAAACCAATCACAAGTTAAGCTTCTGGTTTGCAAGTTTCTGGCTTGAAACATGCCTCAGGAGCTAGTTGTAACCAGACTACAGTACCGGGCCTACTGCTTAAGTGGCAGCTCCTGTCAAGTCGGTTTTTCCATGGGCCCCACTGCGCCATTTTCTCTGGCTCCAAATGCATTTCATGGGCTTGGCCGGCCGAAGGTGGATGGTTGGTCCTCAAATCAGCTGTATGCAACATTCCAACATGATTGCAACCTACACCCAGTTTTGTTATTCGGGAAGCCTCCAGTGGATCCAGCCACATCTCACCTGGGTGTCATGGATGCGGGTGGTAGCACTTTGCAGCAGCTTTCTGATAGTTGCTGGATGGCCTTGGCGACTCGCTTGCGTGGTGCCTTGGAGAAGGAGTCAACATCAATTATCCAACAAGACATGGGTTGATGAAGACCCCAACATACCCCAACCAAGACATGCCAAGAATATTATACGTAATATATTATATTTCTTAGATTAGATTTTGTTAGTTCATAGATGTGTTCTTTTTTGGTTTTTGATCCAAAACCTTTTCCTCAACAAGCATGATCTTTTCCTCAATGGGCGCACTGTGGAAATGTGAGTTTCAGCAAAAAACCAGTTGCGATGGGAGGATTTTGAGGATTCACCTGGACGCCGAAGGTCAGAGTTGGGAACTCCACTGCTGAGATCTATGGCTTCCGTTCAGTCGTGCAGAGCTGGGGCAGCCACTGTGAGTGGCTTCTCGGAACCAAACAGATATATAAAGAGAATTGAAGAGATGTAGAAAGATCAAAAAAGGCTCAGTGATGGCCTTGGCCGCTCTGGCGGCTTTTCACCTGACCCAGGTTGGTTGCTATCATCCCACGAGCTGCTCAGGCCAGAAATTTGTGGTGTAGGGGTGTTTGAGCGCGTGTGATTTGATTTCAATTGCCGTTGAGAAAAGGTTCACTTTATACAGAGTTTCTACAGGATGTCCCGGTGGGCTTCCCGGTGGTCCCTTGATATTCACCGCTAGGAACAACTTCACTTGGCGCTGGAGGATATCTTGGATGCTCCCTTCAAGGCGCAATCCTATCAAAAGGCCACCAACCGGATGACTGCAAACGGAACGTATCCTTGAACCATGTTGGAATCAGACAGTTTCAGGGATATTTGTGAAACATCCAGTTGTTTTCCTTTTGGCACAAGACATGTTTCTCTGTTGCAGGTGATCCAACTTGACGATGCACCCAGTGATCCACGGGATGTCTTGGAGCTCACGCGTTTGAGCGTCCGGACCATTTCAGGAGGCCAAAGAAGTTTGACAAGCAGGGTTGACTGCAGGAAATGCATGAAAGCCCACTATTCTCGTCATATCCAAACTGAGTGGACAAGGACATCAAGACAGAAAATCTGTGAAATCCCAACTGAGTGTTGAATCAAGATACAGAACGATACAGAGTCCTGCCTTGCAGGTGCTGCTAACTTGGCTTGTGCCGTGTCTAGGCGAGAAATGATGGATGTTTATGAAACTGTGCTCTTTGCTCTTGGAGACAGGAATTTCCATAATTTCCTCTTCTTGTTGACAGAGACCCAAAACCCAACATCCCAAGCGTTTTGCAGCTTGCTGGTATTTCACAGCTTGTAAAGCTGACAGACCTTGCAACTACTGCAACTCTGCTGTAAATTACTGCAGAAAATACCGCCGCTGTTTGTAACCATTCAATATGTCTTTTCATTCTTTCTGGTCATGGCCCTCATGGCAACTCTCAAGACAGAAAGGTAGAGAGCCTCCATTGGATGACTATCTCTCCGTAGGCCATGGATATTTGTGGTGCCGCAGAACCTGTTCACATATTTGGACGATCAACAGTTTCCTGGCATGCGTCATTCCCATTCTGAAGGCCGAGTGCTTCTTCAGGAAAACACACAGTTTTTTTGTTTAACATGTTCTTTCCCCATCCTTTCCAGAGCTTTCAGATGTGGACGTCACCAGGCTGATGCTTAAAAACCAGTGTCATCAGCAGATCACCTAAGGGGTCATCGCGGTCATCTCTCGATCCAGTGTGGTGCACTGTTCTGCGAGACGGGGCCACCAAAGCAACGAACTCGGCCACGGCCACTGTGGCCGCCCATGTGTGGAAGGCGCTTGGAGGAGCGACTCTTACCTGCAATTCGCATCAATTCGCTGCGATGAGTACTGAGTGATCTAATATGATATGATGTATTAATGTCATATAATATATATATATAATTTCAATAATATATATATATATAGTGACGGACAATCACTTAGAACGTAAAATTTTTTCCAATTTTTTTTTTCGTACTTAGAACGTAGCAAAATTTCATCACTTAGAACGTAGGGAAAATTCATCACTTAGAACGTCAAAATATCACTTAGGCCCATTTATCACTTAGAACGTAAACCAACACTTAGAACGTGCTAAGTGATTGTCCGTCGCTATATAAACTATTTTTTCGATTTCAAAATCAATTAAATTTCCTTATATAGCGCAATTAAACATATTGCCAAAAATTGGATTTCGAAGCGGACCCTAATAATAAATTTAGACCCTTAATAAAGCGGCTATTTTTTTCGACTTCAAAATCAATTAAATTTCCTTATATAACGCAATTAAAATATTGCCAAAAATTGGATTTCGAAGCGAATCCTAATAATAAATTTAAACCCTTAATAAAAAGACTAGTTTTTTCGATTCAAAATCAATTAAATTTCCTTTTATAACGCAATAAGACTATTGCCAAACACTAGAGTTCGAAGCGGACCCTAATAAATTTAAACCCTTAATATAACAAAACTATTTTTTTCGATTCAAAACCAATTAAATTTCCTTATATAGCGCAATTGAAATATTGCCACAAATTGGATTTCGATGCGGACCTAAATAATAAATTTAAACCCTTAATAAGAAAAACCGTTTTTTTCGATTTCAAAATCAGGTAAATTTCCTTATAACACAATTAAAATATTGCCAAAAATTGGATTTCGAAGCGGATCCTAATAATAAATTTAAACCCTTAATAAAAAGACTAGTTTTTTCGCTTTCGAAATCAATTGAATTTCCTTTTATAACGCAATTAAAATATTGCAGAAAATTGGAATTCGAAGTGGAATCGAAATTATGTCTAGGTTTCCTATACGGAATTAGCTGCTGAATCCAACACTTAGAACGTCAGAACCCCTAAAAAGCACCAAAAGGTATAGTGTTCCAGAGATAAAAGATCACCAATATTTGCAAATCATATGGGAGGGAAAAGCCAAATGGTACGAAATTATGTCTATGTTTCCTCGGAATTAGCTGCTGAATCCAACACTTAGAACGTCAGAACCCCCAAAAAGCACCAAAAGGATCCAAAAGGTAGAGTGTTCCAGAGATAAAAGATCGCCAATGTCAAATCATATGGGAGGGAAAAGCCAAATGGTACGAAATTATGTCTATGTTTCCTACGGAATTAGCTGCTGAATCCAACACTTAGAACGATAGAACCCCCAAAAAGCACCAAAAGGATCCAAAAGGTAGAGTGTTCCAGAGATAAAAGATCGCCAATGTTTGCAAATCATATAGGAGGGAAAAGCCAAATGGTACGAAATTATGTCTGTGTTTCCTACGGAATTAGCTGCTGAATCCAACACTTAGAACGTCAGAACCACCAAAAAGCACCAAAAGGTATAGTGTTCCAGAGGTAAAGACCGCCAAGATTTGCAAATCATATGGGAGGGAAAAGCCAAATGGTACGAAATTATGTCTATGTTTCCTACGGAATTAGCTGCTGAATCCAACACTTAGAACGTCAGAACCCCAAAAAGCACCAAAAGGATCCAAAAGGTATAGTGTTCCAGAGATAAAAGATCGCCAATATTTGCAAATCATATGGGAGGGAAAAGCCAAATGGTACGAAATTATGTCTATGTTTCCTACGGAATTAGCTGCTGAATCCAACACTTAGAACGTCAGAACCCCCAAAAAGCACCAAAAGGTATAGTGTTCCAGAGATAAAAGATCGCCAATATTTGCAAATCATATGGGAGGGAAAAGCCAAATGGTACGAAATTATGTCTATGTTTCCTACGGAATTAGCTGCTGAATCCAACACTTAGAACGTCAGAACCCCCAAAAAGCACCACCAAAAGGTATAGTGTTCCAGAGATAAAAGATCGCCAATATTTGCACATCATATGGGAGGGAAAAGCCAAATGGTACGAAATTATGTCTATGTTTCTTACGGCTTAGAATGTCAGACCCCCCAAAAAGCACCAAAAGGTATAGTGTTCCAGAGATAAAAGATCGCCAATATTTGCAAATCATATGGGAGGGAAAAGCCAAATGGTACGAAATTATGTCTATGTTTCCTACGGAATTAGCTGCTGAATCCAACACTTAGAACGTCAGAACCCCCAAAAGCACCAAAAGGTATAGTGTTTCAGAGATAAAAGATCGCCAATGTTTGCAAATCATATAGGAGGGAAAAGCCAAATGGTACGAAATTATGTCTATGTTTCCTACGGAATTAGCTGCTGAATCCAACACTTAGAACGTCAGAACCACCAAAAAGCACCAAAAGGTATAGTGTTCAAGAGGTAAAGATCGCCAATTCAATATTTGCAAATCATATGGGAGGGAAAAGCCAAATGGTACGAAATTATGTCTATGTTTCCTACGGAATTAGCTGCTGAATCCAACACTTAGAACGTCAGAACCCCCAAAAAGCACCAAAAGGTATAGTGTTCCAGAGATAAAAGATCGCCAATATTTGCAAATCATATGGGAGGGAAAAGCCAAATGGTACGAAATTATGTCTATGTTTCCTACGGAATTAGCTGCTGAATCCAACACTTAGAACGTCAGAACCCCAAAAAGCACCAAAATGCATAGTGTTCAAGAGATAAAGAACGCCAATATTTGCAAAACATATGGGAGGGAAAAGCCAAATGGTACGAAATTATGTCTATGTTTCCTACGGAATTAGCTGCTGAATCCAACACTTAGAACGTCAGAACCCCCAAAAAGCACCAAAAGGATCCAAAAGGTATAGTGTTCCAGAGATAAAAGATCGCCAATATTTGCAAATCATATGGGAGGGAAAAGCCAAATGGTACGAAATTATGTCTATGTTTCCTACGGAATTAGCTGCTGAATCCAACACTTAGAACGTCAGAACCCCCAAAAAGCACCAAAAGGACCAAAAGGTATAGTGTTCAGAGATAAAAGATCGCCAATGTTTGCAAATCATATAGGAGGGAAAAGCCAAATGGTACGAAATTATGTCTATGTTTCCTACGGAATTAGCTGCTGAATCCAACACTTAGAACGTCAGAACCACCAAAAAGCACCAAAAGGTATAGTGTTCAAGAGGTAAAGATCACCAATTCAATATTTGCAAATCATATGGGAGGGAAAAGCCAAATGGTACGAAATTATGTCTATGTTTCCTACGGAATTAGCTGCTGAATCCAACACTTAGAACGTCAGAACCCCCAAAAAGCACCAAAAGGATCCAAAAGGTAGAGCGTTCCAGAGATAAAAGATCGCCAATATTTGCAAATCATATGGGAGGGAAAAGCCAAATGGTACGAAATTATGTCTATGTTTCCTACGGAATTAGCTGCTGAATCCAACACTTAGAACGTCAGAACCCCCAAAAAGCACCAAAATGCATAGTGTTCAAAAGATAAAGAACGCCAATATTTGCAAAACATATGGGACAGAAAAGCCAAATGGCACGAAATTATGTCTATGTTTCCTACGGAATTAGCTGCTGAATCCAACACTTAGAACGTCAGAACCCCCAAAAAGCACCAAAAGGATCCAAAAGGTATAGTGTTCCAGAGATAAAAGATCGCCAATATTTGCAAATCATATAGGAGGGAAAAGTCAAATGGTACGAAATTATGTCTATGTTTCCTACGGAATTAGCTGCTGAATCCAACACTTAGAACGTCAGAACCCCCAAAAAGCACCAAAAGGATCCAAAAGGTATAGTGTTCCAGAGGCAAAAGATCGCCAATGTCAAATCATATAGGAGGGAAAGGCTAAATGGTACGAAATTATGTCTATGTTTCCTACGGAATTAGCTGCTGAATCCAACACTTAGAACGTCAGAATCCCAAAAAGCACCAAAAGGATCCAAAAGGGATAGTGTTCCAGAGATAAAAGATCGCCAATATTTGCAAATCATATGGGAGAGAAAAGCCAAATGGTACGAAATTATGTCTATGTTTCCTCGGAAT